TGCTTCAGAGCCATCAGGTAACCCAACTGGAAACCCAAGTGGAGGTGCTTCAGAGCCATCAGGAAAACCAACAGGTAACCCAACCGGAACCCCAACTGGCGGTGCTTCTAAACCTTCTGGAAAGCCAACGAACGCAACAGGTGCTGGTTCTGGCTCTGGTGACTCCGAAGCTAATGCACCTACTAATGAGCCATCCTTGCCATTGCAACCAAGTGGATCTTCTACTTCTGCTGTTTCCACATATGAGGGTTCTGGTTCCATTATCAAGATATCATCCTGCGCTAATATTATTTTGTGCTTAGCGATGTTGGTTACATTTTAGGATATGATTATGTTGGTGTGTCATATCCAACCTAATTCAATGACTACTGGGAGATAACTCGTTATTGACACTGATGTTATCTGAGTTTTTTAATTGTTTTGTCTTTACTTTTTGCCGGTCGATTTTTTTACTGAACTATCGATTTTTTTGCGATCTGCAATTTTTATTATTGCCAATGGCTGTTTCGGTACAACCATTTCAAACTGGAAGTTTTTAGTTTGAATTTTGGTTTATTATTTTTATTATTTCGGTTATGTACTTTTTTTGGCCTTTGTATAATCTTTTCAAGGGTATGTGTATTTAATTCAATGAGTGTGTTATAAAACTATTACTAACCTCTAGCTTGTGCTACCTATGTAGACATGAAGTTAGTAATACTTGGTAGTGACTATGAAGGAAGAATGGGCCAATAGAATAGCTATCGGGTGTTTGTAAGAAGTAAATGACTTCTTTTGCACATTATAACGATCAGGTTTTGTGTTTTTGTATTTTTGCAGCTACGCACGACCATATACACGACTTATTAGTCCTATTGTCTATAGAGGATGCAGTTGTAGCACAAGAGAATCACTTGATTTTTGAAACAATAAAAGGGGATTAACAAAGCGTTCATCTAGTCACGAAAGAACGTCAAAAATAAAAGCATGAAACTTCTTCTTCTCTGTGATATTTACCACCAATGGACAGAAATATAAACCTTGATACTTCGAGTGATGAGCCACGGACTACATACAGAGACGAACTGGAAATAGAGGAACAGAGGGGAAGAGAACAACAGTTGATCCGAAACCAAAATAAAGCTATCAAAACGAGTATGAAGTGGAATATTGGCAACACCATAATCACTGCTACTGCTCTCGTTCTTGCCATTGTTGCATTATCAAGAACAGTAAACTAGGTGAATATTGCTAATAGCTTAATACAAATTAGCTGTATGAAGTTTTAGTGCCCTTTCGAACACGTTAAACTACTAGATTGGATACCAGGATTGATGTTATACGCAAACGATGGTGAAAAGACATTATACTGATAATCTAAATAGAAATATGATTTTTAGGAACCTACTCAATGGTTCAATCAATGACAAGTTTATGTAGTTTTGTTAGTGCTAAATATATATAAACTAAGAATCAAACTTTTGAGAGCAAGATACGTCCCTATTGATGAACCCCATATTGTTACTCTCAAACATTCCCAAGTGGTGGAAACACATTTTCGTGTCTTTGTTCAAATAATGTGTGACCTCTCCTGTCAACATCGTTAATCAATGTCCTACATGCTTTCAGACAAATATTGCGTCATCCTAAAGTAAGTTTATATGATTTTGAAGATTTGCGCTCTTGAAAAGCCTATCAATTCCTATTTTATGTTCAGTTTGTTATTACCATATTGAGTAAAATACAAAATACAAATGTCTTATGTAGATGGTTTGTTTGCTTGTTTCCCAAGGAATAAAACAAAGAAGAAGAGGGGAAAGAGAGTGTGTGTATGTATGTCAGCAATACTACCTATGAATGTGTATATTTGTCTGTCGTGTCTGGGAAAACTTTACTGGTCTCAATCTCTTTGTGTTGAATAAATTTTTCTTCAAAAGTACATAATAAATATAAACTACAATTTCTTCGAAAATATATATAAAGATATATTCCAGTATTACAGAGGGAGATTTACAATGACTACATTTAATGGCCATGATACTACCAATGATCGAAGGGAAATGAGAAGCAACCAAAGCAAAGCAATAATGAGATGTATAAGATGGAACTTGTGCAACTCGGTTTTTGTCACGATTGCCTTTATCATTGCCTTTATTGCTTTTATAAGAACATTGGATTAAGAAAACCCAAAACCCAAAACCCAACAGACTTTATTACCGATTTGGATGAAATTTGGGATATGGATATATATAAAAGAGACTTCATACATCCTTCCCCTATTGGGCACATGCATTTTCCATATAAAACCAACAAAAAGATCCTTCTAATTGGCTATTAGCAATAACCCATAGTTTGGTAATCAAAGACTAACAAGTTATTACCAATATCACTCCCCTAAATGTTCATAAATGATTGGAAAGGTGCAAAAGATGGTTGATAATGAGCAAAGACAGGAGTGTGAAAAATGTGAAAGGGAAGAGACAAAAGAAGAGTAGTAACAACGGAGAGAATAAAAAACAAGAATCGGAAAAAAGGTAGATTTCATTTGTTGGTGGAAACACTAAACTACTCGGAGACTCTTGTGTCTTCGTAGGAGCTTTTAATAATGGGTTAATTGTCAGGTTTAATCGCTGTTATTAGCGCCAAAACAAGGATATGGAGTAGATCGCTTTGCACTCTTTAGCACCACAGGAAATGACGGCCTAGTGGCACTAGGTTCATTAATCGGATGGGAACTGTTATTTCATTGCAATACAGAGTAAACTGTGTATCGGACCATTGTCCATCCGTTGAGTGCGGCAGACGATTTTTTAGGTTAACCTAGATGGCATGGTAATAAGAGTCAGTGACATTGCTTACAAGTTCTTTGCTTGGAGTTGGAAAACAGGGGATTGGAGTTTGCAAATCAAGACTATATGAGTGTTGCAGTTGTTGCATTGCAATTATTATTGTATATATCTTGTATTTTTCTTTCCTGTTTCAAGTGGTTTATAGCGTGTTGCAAATGGATATGCCTTTAAAGCTTCTATTAGTATTGCCAAAAAATTTCTTAAATGTTGGAAAAGCTTTTCAAATTTACCCATTAGGTTAAAAGGCGGGCTGATTTCTATAAAAGCACACTCTCCTCCCTTCGTATAAAGGAAAAAGTATGCAAAAGTGTCGGATAAATTATCGTAAGGATGAAGTTGAATAAAAAGAAATTTTGTTGCACAAATATTGAAAATGAGAATGGAATGGTGGGGTTATTGGAGGAGAAAGAAAAAAATAGATTCACCGAATCGCTCTTTGCGACAGCAGCAGCAAAAGAGTTTACAGACAGATTTGTTAAATCCTAACATATTCTTAAAAGCAAAACACACTAGACCAGATAAGCTTCCACTTAGGGTGGTGATGAAGATCCGTTTACTTAGTTATTGTTAGTACGCATCTTTTATGTTTGTCTTTACAATACGATACGCGTAACAAACAAATTTGCAACCATAGAGTGACATAGGAATTAGACACACGCACACGACTCCTTATTTAATACAAGAAAAATAACCAAGAAAATCTCACTGGAAACGTCAATAAAAGCATCAACCAACTAAAATATTTTCTCAAGTTTTTTGTATTGTAAAGCTATGACGTAGTGAGGAGGGGTAGGTGCCTGTAAAAGAATAAGTTGTATTTATCTGGTTTAGGAAACCCTTTAATAATAATTCACATTCAAGTTCTAACTGCGCTCGTGTCATAACTAGCAAGTACATTTCTTACCTTTATTTGATCAGGAATAGGATCTAGTAGGTGGTAGTGCCTTTTCTAGCAAATGCCACTTTTGAGATAGGTTAGGATATACGCTAGTTTACTCCATAGAGACAACATGCAGTCTCTTTTCTCTCCACTCAACACAATCCAAAGGAATAACTCACAAACCCTCTTCATTATATTAGATTCCTTTATTCATACTGTTTCAGCCTTTTGCTGCATGCCCCACCTATTTGTACTAAAATAGAACATTGTACAGGGCTTTTTATTTTTAGTTACACTTTCATGTTTTGTGTCATAAAGTCTAAAAAGTCAAGAAAAAAGTTTTTGCGACAAGAAAAATCTTAAAATACTCCTCGATCACTTTTTCTTGGAAGTAAACACAACAAATAAAGTTAATTTATCCAGACTGTTACGTGCTGTTGCAAGACAATAATGGAGGAAACAATGAAATTCTGTTTCTTTTGCTGGTGTTGGAGAGAAAAGTATGCGTCGTCACATGAGTTAAACACAAGGAGCTTACTGAATTCGAAATAATATAAATATGTCCCAAGATTCCCAACCTCATTCACTCACTCCATATAGTGATAGCAATAACATCTATCCACTATTTTACAACAAAGATAAACTTACTAATACACTACTTATAACATCATGGCTAAATTCAGCTGGACACCCGACTGGTTAGTCAATAGAACAACAACGGCGGGACTCAGAGGAAGAAAATTACGTGCTGCCGTTACATTCACCGCCACTATTGGGTTCTCCCTTTTCGGTTACGACCAGGGGCTTATGTCTGGTATCATCACTGGTGAACAATTCAATAATGATTTTCCACCCACTAAAGACAACAAAACGATTCAGGGTGCAGTTACTGCCTGTTACGAATTGGGGTGTTTTTTTGGTGCCCTTTTTGCCTTGATCAGGGCCGATAGGATTGGAAGAAAGCCAATTATTATCGTCGGAGCCATGATCATTATTCTTGGAACCATCATTTCGGTAACGCCCATGAGACCCCATTGGCAAACGGGTCAGTTTGTTATTGGTAGAGTCGTCACTGGTGTTGGTAATGGTATGAATACGGCAACTATCCCCGTGTGGCAATCAGAAATGTCGAGGGCTGAGAATAGAGGTAGATTGGTCAATATTGAAGGTGCAGTCATTGCTATTGGTACCTTTATTGCATACTGGATTGATTTTGGTTTTTCCTACGTTGAAAACTCCGCCCAGTGGAGGTTCCCTACTGCTTTCCAAATTGTGTTTGCTGCTATACTTTTGGGAGGTATCATTGTTATGCCAGAATCCCCTCGCTGGTTAATATCGCATGAACGTAAACCGGAAGCTTATGAAGTGTTGGGTTATCTCAACAATTTGCCACCTGATGATGATGCTATTGTTGCCGAAGCTAGTACGATTATCGATGCGGTGAACCGATTCAGAAACTCGCAAACTGGATTCAGGGACTTGCTTACTGGTGGAAAGACACAACATTTCCAAAGAATGATTATTGGTTCATCTTCGCAATTTTTCCAGCAATTCACTGGATGTAATGCTGCCATCTACTACTCAACCATCTTGTTTCATGAGACGATTTTCAATAGTACCAAGTATAGGTTATCATTGATCTTGGGTGGTGTGTTCGCCACTATCTACGCCTTGGCTACCATTCCTTCATTCTTTTTGATTGATACGGTTGGTAGGAGAAAATTGTTTTTAGTTGGTGCCATTGGACAAGGTTGTTCATTCATCATCTCATTTGGTTGTTTGGTTAACCCTACTGAAGAAAATGCCAAAGGTGCTGCTGTTGGAATCTTTTTATTCATTGTGTTTTTCGCGTTTACAATCTTGCCATTGCCTTGGATCTACCCACCAGAAATCAATCCTTTGAGAACAAGAACTGCCGCATCAGCTGTCTCGACTTGTACCAATTGGATCACCAATTTTGCCGTTGTTATGTTTACTCCCAAATTTATTGAAAGATCCAACTGGGGTTGCTACTTGTTCTTTGCCTGTTTCAACTTCCTTTTCGTGCCAGTCATTTTCTTTTTCTACCCAGAAACTGCCGGTAGATCATTGGAAGAAATTGATATCATCTTTGCCAAGGCTCACATTGAAGGAAGACAACCATGGAGAGTCGCTGCCACCTTGCCTAAATTGTCATTGCAAGAAATTGATGAACAAAGCAAAAGTTTGGGCTTGTTTGATGATGAGTTTGACAAGGACAATTTTGAAACCAAGGAAGACATCACTGATAGTTCTAGTAACGATGGGTTGAGGAACAGAGAGAACGGTATGTTTGAAAAGGAATCTCAAAGATCTGTGAATGATGTCACTACGTCCAGAGATGAAGGTAAGAATGCTTGATTGAAAGAAGGTGCACTGTTTGTTTTAAGAACGTGTCGTCGTATTTCATAGACTGTTACAGTATTAATATAAACACATACACATTTTTGGTCGTCTCTGACTATTAGTTTTATGTAAATATTTTATCACTTTTGCAAGGGATTCGAATGAGCAAGAGAATGTAGGAGTATAATTGAGTTATTCATGATTAACGTGGACGTAATGCACCAATGTGATGGCACTACGTGCCCTTTTTAGTTTGCGAATTCAGGGTAAGTTGTTGTGTCATGAAACCTTAATTTCGTAACTAAAACGCAACATGACACATTGAAAAAAGCAAAAGCGCAAAACTTATGGCCGAGAGAACTGGTAATTTCACGATTTTGAAATTACAAAGTCGGCATTATATATCTTCCTTAATCATGCCCCGAAATTGCAAAATTGTACTAGATAATTCAAGCAGCCTTTGCACATATTATTCTGCTGTTCACGGCGGGAGAAAAAAGCCAAAGACAAAGCAGCAGTTGGAGGTTGGTAATGTGTGTTGGAATTGAAAACACCTTAAGTAAAGAAAGCAGAGCAGAGAGCAATTCGAAATGGTGATGGTTTAAAGCATGACTAAAGTTCCTAGAAACAATGCCGAACAGAGAGGTATATACAGTAAGAGGTTTTAAGGAAATCCAACCAGCTCCATTGTGCTTGCATTTTGCACTTTGCGCTTTTAGAGTGAAGTTTTTAATTTAGTCATAAAATCGACAAAACACCAAAAATCCATGTATTAATTGCAAATTCCAATATTCAGGATGATTCTTTTTTACTCAAACACCCAAACCCTTGAGATTGCTTTGCGTTTAGTTTGACTATCAACGAGCAGTATCTGTCATTGGAACAGAACAAGCTTCAAATGTCTCCAGCCTATATGATGTCGGATTTAACATCCTCGTTTTGTGTTTTGTTCCTGGTGGATATCAACGCAACTATGACGTATCAAAATTTGTTTTACAGAAAAAATTAGAAGTAATCACGTGTGAGTTGCTAGTGCATAAAGCGTGATTTCCACGTCTCCTCGATTAACGCTGTGCAAAGTATTACATACACACACTGAAGTGTAGTATGGATTTATATAACCGATCATAAGAGTGTGTGGCTGTGATAGTGCACAAAAACTCGTTTAAAGGCTTATAAGCTCGGCATATAAATCCGAAATCTGGAGAAACTGCGCGATACGAAGAAAAAAAGAAAGAATACAAATATACTTGCAATTCCTCCCACATTGCTCGAGTTTCATCAATTGTAAATCATATCCACACAATTGATTATAGCAATAGATACTATCAAACCTTTATTCAAAACAAGATGTTGTTCAAAAAATTAAGCGCAGTACAAAACTTGGAAGAAAGCCATAAAGAAGCAGAACGTCAGAAGAGCGAGGCATACGAGGAAGAGATAAAGAAAAGGGAGACATTACAAACCAGTCATTCAATCAGTACCAAGTCCAGCATCAGTAGTGATGAGGAAGGTGAAGACAGTACAATGAGCGAACAAAAGCGAAAACTTTTGGAAAGCCAAAAACAACCGAGACCATTCCTGGCTTATGGTAAAACTGGGAACAGTGAAAAAGATGCCAAGAGGGCTGCTGAATATGAAGCTCGAAAAGCTCGTAGAGACGAGAAGGACGAAAAAAGGGGGTTTAAAAAGACACCAGCAGATCTGTCCTGGCCTGCCTGGGGAGCAATGTAATGTACTGGTGACAAAGATAGCGAGTCTTATCCCAATGAAAGAGGGCAGGACTTATCTTTTTTTTTTCAGGCGAAAGTCTTTCACAATATACGACTCAAGACAAATACTTTTATCTCTTTTTAGGATTTAGATCTTAATGCAAAATTGATGTCTGCTTAAACTATACCCTATCTTTTTTAGTCTTTGCTCATAACGTCCCTAATAATTCCTTGTCAAGAAAGACTTGTAAAAATTGCATCGCACAATTGCAGAGAGAGGTGACATACAAGTGAGTTTGGCTGCATTTACCAGCAACGAGACTTCACGGACGTCTTGGATGAAGGCACATAATAGTATATGGTACTGGGGCATGCAAAAGCTTTTGTTAGTGATAGCAGTCAGTGCTGGTTCTATCACTCTGAAAGGAAATCACTAATCTGTACCGAAACCTGATCTTTGATAGTGATACCCTCTCATTTCACAAATGCTAAAGTTGGCTCACAAAACCGTGAAGGTTCTTTCATTTGAGTACTTTACCTTTGCGGTTAAGAACACTGGCAAAATTAAGAGATGAAAGCGTCGGCAATCTCTTTTCATCACAATAGCACATGCCACCTTTTCCTTTCTATTCAAAAGAGACTATGTCGATCATCAAGAGGTCTCCCTCCACGTTGACCCAACAAAAAGATTAAAAGAAAAAAGTTGAATTCACATTTCTTTCCCCGCGAGAGATCCCACCGCACCCAATCGATAAACAATAGAATCTGAGTAAGGTTTATTGTTTTAAACAGAATATCCCCAAATATAAGCTCCCCACTTTTAGAGCCTCCAGCCTGATTACAAAAGGAGTTTAAATCCAGAGCTTCTGATATGCGTGTCAACAATAAAAGAATGAGGTGGTTTATTGTTCAGTGGAATCATTTTCGGATAGATTTTCCCAAATAATAGAAAAAAAAAACCCCAGCACTTCGTCTCTCTATTGTTCCTGATTTTGTACTACTTAAAAATAAAAACAAAAATATTCCTCGCGATTTACAACAAAAATAAAAAAAATATTACTATGAAACTAGAATAGGCGCCTTAAAGCCAAAGCCAAAGCCAATTGAGTCCCGAAACCCGAATCCGACACGGCGCGATACCGCAGATATATATATATATATATGTTGGCTTGTGGGGTGTGTAATAAATAAGCCCCTTATTGTGCTTCACTTTGCCCTTTGTTCTTGCCTCTGTTATTTCTATCACAAATCCTTTTCTTTTCTGGCTCTACAAAACCCAAATGCACTGGTATATACCTTCTTCTTGTTCTTCTTCAAAATACTTGGGGCGTCAAGTTACAGGTTCCCAGTTAAGTCTCTCCAACCAACAATAGAGACTAAAAAAAGAGCGATATGAAATTGGGAATTTCCAGATCTTGATACGTTTGATTTGTGTTTCAGAAACCTGTAATGTGGAGTTAAAAATGGGGGAGTAGGCAAGTGTTCATAACGGTTGATAGAATCTAGTCAAAGATTTGTCATCATTTGTCACTTTGGTAAAAATTTGAAATAGAGTTAGCTCCCACACACATCAACAGTGTGAGCAGAAAGAAACAATATAAAAAACGCCACCAAGAAGTGGTCATGAAAGAGTATATTCTTTTGGTTTTTGGTTTGTTGTTAACATTGAATGAAGGTTAGTGTGAAGTGGGGAAGGATATATATCCTGACAACAATATAAAAAAATTAGGAATGGAATTAATCCTTTTGTTTGTTCTGTTTGTCTATGTCTATGTCTTTGTCTCTGGTTTTTTTTTGCAATTTTAACTTAAAGTAGAAATCATTAGAAATGTACTATGACGTAATCTTATTAGTCTCGAGGCTTTTTGAAAAAAAAAAAACAAATGGCATGCGTGTGTCTACCAAAAGATGAATTTGTTTTTTGTGTATCGACAGTTTAATGTCAAAAAAAAGCAACTAAAGCCATTCCTTTAAAAAGAACGTACAGTATAGTCTATATACAGGAATAGCATAAAGTCTTGCTTTTTCCGAACCTTTCGGGACAAGAAAAAAAAAGTAGCTTACCAAGTTTGTGTAATTGCAACTTTTGTACCAGTACGAGTTCTTTTTTGTTTATTAATAGACTCTAATAGTGAGGTGGGGTGGAAAGGGCAAAGTTTCGTTTTCTACTCATTAATATATTTACGTCATTTTGCATTTCAATGGCCTCTACTCTGGAGGATATACTTTACACTCACCATATCACACGAGAAAAGTGCAAAGATGCTTGCAAAGGTCACAGAATGCTAGTTTGAAAAGAAGGCGAGAGAGAGAGAGAGAGAGAGAGAGAGAGAGAATGGTATGTCATATATGCGGCTACAGTTTTGGCGTCTTTATACATTTGCAATTGTAATGGTAATTGTATCACCCACTTCAATCAAATACATATGTATTAAGAGAGTATATATATTGTTATTGGCCACGGTAGCACAGTTTGAACCTTTGTAAGTGCTTTCTTACAGCCACATAGTTTCTCCCTTTTCCCTGTGATTTCGATATTGATTTGACGAAGGAAAAAAGAGACGTGTTTTGTACGTTTTTTATTGTTGCAAAATGAAATTGAGTGAAGAGGATCCTTGATGTTAAACGGACTTAGTCTTTGTAACTTTATCCCCGATCGAGTGAAAAAGTACTTCCATAAGGAAAGTGCAGTTTTGTTAAACTACAAACCTCTAGCACTCAGCCATCTCCAAACTTTGTTGTTTCTGAGCTATTGTTGATTCCTCGCATTCACTTCAATGTAAGACGAGGGCGATTGCAAAGTTTAGCTCTTACCCAAGAAAAAATCGTCTTCTAGTGAAAAATGTGGCAAGTCGAATACCTCAAAATTGACTAAACACGTCTCACTTACAATAGACAATCGAAACCAGTTCCCCACAATCAATATGGTTAACCGGCGCGAAAAATAACAAAACTCCTTACAATCTAGAACAATAAAGGAATGCTTTTTCCTCGCTCAACTTTTGAGCGCTCCTCATTACGAGACTAGATGAAATTTAACAATAAAAGCCATATCGAAACTCATTCCAAATCACCACAATCTCTCCACACTGTCAAAACACGACTTCACTGAATAATAATAATAAAATACTCTTTATTTTCAAGATGTTCGTAAAACTATACAATTGAAAGAAAAAAGAAAAGAGCAACAACAATTCTTCGTCTATCTCGAGAACCGAAACTTTTAACTCAATTGGAAGATTTTGTGGCATCACAGTGCGAGTAATACGACATGCAAATTTTTGAAATTCCTTGCTTATACATGTACCTCTTTATTCTGCTGTTATTGTGGAAAGCCGTATTCAAAAAAAAAAAATGGCCTGATGTTATTCACAATCGCGTCGAAACGACTTTGCTGGGTCTTTCCTTCACCATCATTACTACTTAGTTTATGCTCTGTAGTTGTCCTGTGCTACATAATTTTGCTAATGCCTTGCAACCAGATTATAGTTCTATCTCGTGTGATATATACTGTCGGATAAATGGTAGCAAATAGGTTATTGCAACATGTTCAAAATTAAAGATATTATTTAATATGCAGGTTTCACTGAGGGGCAAATGATGAACAATGAACTGATACACAAACAGAAACTAAAAATTGGTCGTGCATATCTGTCCAAAAAAACAAATAAAAAAACCAAACGTTTTTGTGGTTTCTTTTAACTTTGACTCAAATACGTCATAGCTCTTTTTTTCATTACTACTCGTCGTGGTATTTAAGTAGAGGTTAAGTGTCAGCGCTACCGGATACTTCTTCTGGCTAAATTAAATGCAACATAATAACAAAACAAAAGTGTTTTAAGCCTAATTTGCATTCTCCTCACATTAGTGAAAAAAAAAAAAAGTTGGCTTATTTGGAGGATCACTCATTCCCCACTTTCTCTCTCTCTCTCTCTCTCCCTCTCTCCACAGCATATAGCTTAAGATTCCATCTATACATTGCATGATGAAAATAAGAAAAAGGTATACATAACCATCTTATTGCATGACCTTAAGTGAGATGGGGAAGCACTATGCAGATTAAAAAAAAAACTTTTTTCTCCTCTTGCTTGAAGCTCATCGCAATTTAAAGGCATAGTTCATCTATGATCGTAGCTGGAATACGTTTTGGGCTGCTGGCATTTTTTCTTGACTATTTTGGCGTTCACAAAATAGTTGATCATTTTGCAGCTTCACAGTTTTTTTTTTTTTTTTCCTTTTTTTGTATCAAGTTCTATTCTGGTTAGTTTATTAATCAACTTATTAATTCTCTAGTCTCAGTATAATTTCAATTCTGTTCTATTTTCCTTTTGTGACACTGTTGTCTAAAAATATTTTCATCTGACTCTCAGTGTTAGAGATTCGAAATCTAAATCGAAAAAGATGAGGTCTGGAAAGGTATATACACTGGATATCGACAAGATTGGGGAAGTATAGCCAGGAATGGGTAAAGAGATTCTGCTTCTTGTTCTCTCTGCTTTGATGATTTTGCTCTCTAACACTTGCCAAAAGAACTGGTGATTGTTTTAGCGCTGAGAGAGATGCAAAGGTACACGACTTTCTGACTAAAATAAATAAAAATAAAAAAATTCCGTGCAAAAAATTTATTTTTTTATTTTTTTATTTTTATTTAATTTTACACGCATTTAGACAGGCAGTAACAGAAACACTGGAGAACTTGCACACATAATAACGTGGGGACTAAAAAGATTTTTATAGTAATATAGCAACTGTAATCAAAACGTCACCAAATGGTTTTTTTCTTAGCCTAGAATTGCTAAAAAGTCATCAAAAGTGAGTTGACTTCTCTGCTTCTTCCATCATTTCTGATGACTTATTTGGCTGGCATACGAAAGAACCAGCACTATTAAGATATATCCTGTACACAATGATGATAATGATTCGTTTGAGTTCGTTCGTCTGAAAGCTCTAGCCTTATTGTGCATTTGGTTTTTTGTTTCAATTTTTGTAATGGAGTGTATATAAAAGAAAGAGTTACTGCATAGAACAGCAAGCGCCCAATTATAAATTAAAACACAAAAAGCCGCAGTATAAAAATATAAAAAGCAACAATAGCAAAATAATAGCAAAACAATAGCAAAGTTAAAGAATTAAAAAAATTAAAATTGCAAAATTCACAAACCCACCTACAAAACAAAAAAAGGCTCTTCTAATTGTTAACAGAAGAGGCATAACCCACACAAGTAACAAAAAAGAAAAAGAACTACATCATAGCCATTATATGTAGTACCAAACAAGTAAACAAAACAAAACAAATCAATAACAAACATCAGAGAAAACAAATAAAAAATAAAAAATAAAAAACAAAATTTTTTTTTATACCCTACCCTACACATTACGTGTATAACAGCATATAGACATTGTTTTCATTTCTTTTTTTTATTTCCTTCTTCTAGACGTATATATAAATGAAACAGCATTCCCCACCACTCCCTCTTCAAAATTTATTTTCTGTTTTCCTCTTCTTCTTCTTCTTCTTGTTCCTGTTCTCGTTCTTTATAATTATTTCTTGGAAAAATTCTTAGCGTTTTTTCTTGAACAATAAATAACACTTTTACGTTCCTTTCATCACCGACAACGTTCAACAACGTTAGCGAGTACTAGTTTTGATCAGAGACCCGTTAATTCCAAGAAAAAGTGTGCCAAGGTTTTTAAAGTTCTAAACAATAGAAGTGTTTTTTTTATTTAAACCACCATCGCCGCTTTATTAAACCCCCCAAGATTATTATTATTTTTTTGTTTTGGCAAACCACCTTAAAGTCAAGAAAATAAACTCCAATAACAACTAGCCACAACTAGCCACAATTTTAAAACAGCTACTTACTTCTTATCAAAAATGAGTAGTAAATTTGCTAACAAAATCGATGTTTTGGCCGGTAGGACATCCTCCTCTGGTATGAGAGGCAAAAAATTGCGTTTCTTCATCACCGTTACTGCCACCATTGGTTTCTCCCTTTTCGGTTACGATCAAGGTCTTATGTCTGGTTTGCTTAATGGTGACCAATTCAAAAAAGAATTTCCACCAGCTGATGGAGATTCCACCATTCAAGGTGCCATTACCGCCTGTTATGAATTGGGTTGTTTCTTTGGTGCCATTTTTGCTTTGTTTAGAGGTGATTATTTCGGTAGAAAACCCCTTATGCTTGCTGGTTCATTGATTATTATTATTGGTACCGTTATTTCGACGGCCGCTATTAGACCATACTGGCAAACGGGTCAATTTGTTATTGGTAGAGTTGTTACTGGTGTTGGTAATGGTTTGAATACGGCAACTATCCCTGTTTGGCAATCAGAAATGTCGAGGGCTGAAAACAGAGGTAGATTGGTCAATATTGAAGGTGCTGTTGTCGCCATTGGTACTTGTATTGCGTACTGGATCGATTTCGGATTCTCATACATCAACAGTTCAGTCCAATGGAGATTCCCCACCGCTTTCCAAATTGTGTTTGCTGGTTTGTTCTTTTTTGGTCTTCTCAACTTGCCTGAATCTCCACGTTGGTTGATTGCTCATCATCGTAGAGCTGAAGCTCATGAAGTTTTGGGTTACCTTAATGATTTGCCACCAGATGACGATGCTATTATTGCTGAAGGTACGACAATTATTGATGCGGTTAACAGATTTGCTGATGCGCAAACTGGATTCAAGGATTTGCTTACTGGTGGAAAGACACAACATTTTCAAAGAATGGTTATTGGTTCTTCATCGCAATTTTTCCAACAATTTACTGGATGTAATGCTGCTATTTATTACTCAACCTTGTTGTTTTACCAAACCGTTTTCGACTACAGTAAATACAGATTGTCGTTGATTTTGGGTGGTGTTTTTGCCACAATTTACGCCTTGGCTACCATCCCTTCATTCTTTTTGATTGATACGGTTGGTAGAAGAAAATTGTTTTTAATTGGTGCCATTGGACAAGGTTGTTCCATGATTATTTCATTTGGTTGTTTAGTCAAACCAACTTCTGAAAACGCTAAAGGTGCCGCTGTGGGTATTTACTTGTTTATCGTGTTTTTCGCCTTCACCATCTTGCCATTGCCATGGATCTACCCACCAGAAATCAATCCATTAAGAACAAGAACTACCGCTTCTGCCGTCTCCACCTGTACCAATTGGTTGTGTAACTTTGCCGTTGTTATGTTTACTCCCAAATTTATTGAAAGATCCAACTGGGGTTGCTACTTGTTCTTTGCCTGTTTCAACTTCCTTTTCGTGCCAGTCATTTTCTTTTTCTACCCAGAAACTGCCGGTAGATCATTGGAAGAAATTGATATCATCTTTGCCAAGGCTCACGTTGAAGGAAGACAACCATGGAGAGTCGCTGCCACCTTGCCTAAATTGTCATTGCAAGAAATCGAAGCCGAAGGTAACAGCTTGGGATTGTACGATGGCGATTTCGAAAAGGACAACTTTGAAACCAAGGAAGATATTAGTGATTCAACTAGTGGTAATGGAAACGGTGCTAATGGTGGTGGTATGTTTGAAAAGAATTCAAATGAAGAAGACAATACTGCTGCTGGTTCCGAACAAGCTTCAAACAAAGTTTAAGCAGTGGTGCAGGATGAGGATGATCGTGATGACAATGACGAGCTCATTAGATAAGAAGAGTTTTATTCCGCTGAGCTTTTATCTTTTTTAAATTTATTCTATTAATTATACCGATTTGATTTTCACTTTTTTTTTTTCTATATAAATATACAGTTATAAATATATAAAGTGTTATTAGAGAAAGAATTATTTAAACCATGTTTTACTAATCGAAGCATGGAATGTACTTATTAACCTCGTTCAAGTTGTAGGTGAAAGTGTTGCATCTTTCATGATGACACATGAAGAAGTGCAGTTTCTAAAATGTCAATATCAATTGGAAAACTATTCATTAACCTTTCTTTCTATTGAAAATACTAATACATAATACAAATATCGCCATGGGTAAACCATAACTTCAAAAAAAATCTCACAACGTCAGGAAATAACAACTTCTACTTCTTACAGCAGTGGTTTTATTCTCTTCACAAATATCCACCTCTTCTCAAATGGTGATGCGATTGATCATGTGCCTGCACACTAGGATCAATCAGACTCAGGTCCAAATCACCTTGAGATCCTTGACCTCCATTGCTAGCACCACCACCACCATTAGAATTGTTGCCAGTAGCACCGCCAACGCCATTACCACCACCGTTACCGCCTCCACCAGGCACATTCATTGCGGCAACAGCAGCAGCAGCGGCAGCAGCTATACTAGCAGCATTAGAATTGCTGGCTGCCGGGTTGTTATTGGCAGCTTCAAGCGCAGCATAAACTGATGCGTCGGGGTGTTGTTGCTGCTGGCGTTGCGGTTGTGATCGTCTCAGTCTATTTTGTGGTTGCGGAGGGAGGCTTTGACTCAAATGACCAATCAAATCGTTATAGTTGGGTGTACCTGCCATATTTGATAGTGTGTGGTCAAGTTGTTGATTTGGATGTTGTTGTTGTTGTTGCTGCTGCTGCTGTTGTTGTTGAAATTGCATTGGCAAATGATGATGATTACCTTGTTGGAAATTCTGTCCTTGTCTTGACTTTGTCAACCCCATTGAACTTCCACTAGCACCCGATGACGATGAAGATGATGGAATCCCTTCCAGCTGCCTAATGTGCTTATTAACTGGTTTCTCAACCATTGTTCTTGCTTCCTTTTGTCTCTTTTTCTTACTTGCTGGATCCGGTGGATGGTTATGTTGAGGATTAATCATTCTTAAAATCCACAAGTCTTCGGTCTCACCCGAACCATCAGTTGAATTACTGCCTCCTTCTGGTTTAACTTGAACCAAGTTACCATTTTCATCAAAAAGATCATCATTTTTGCCCTTTTTATTATTTCCTCCCTTTTCATTGGCATACACATTGGCCACTAATCGATAAGTACATTTGTTTCTCTTGGTATAAGCAATTCGTTGTCTCTTTTCCGGGTTCTTAACTGTAGTTCTAAACGAACCCGATCGTTCACATTGGAAATACACCGCTTTTGGTTTCGACGAGTTAATGACAATACGACAATGGTCCTCGGGACCAAGTACTGACTTGACATATTTGACAAGATCGGTTTTACTGCTGAATGTCTTGATAATTTCATTCTCAACGAATTTGGACCGAAGATCTTCACCAGAATTGAGCTCATCGGAAAGAGTCGAAGGAACTGGTGAGGACTGTGATGGGATAGGCACACCTTGGCTATTCGACAACTGTATCCCATGGTGTTGGTGTGGTTGCTGAAGCTGTTGAAACTGTTGCGCTTGTGCTTGTGCTTGCGCCCGTGCCTGTGCTTGCGCTTGAGCTTGTGCCTGTGCTTGTGCTTGTGCTTGCGCCTGTGCCTGTGCCTGCTGCTGTGCTCTAACTTGGGCTTGTACCTGTGCTTGAGCTTGGGCCAATTCCCTCTGTTGTTGTTGGAACTGCTGCAACTGTTGTTGCTGTTGATGCAATTGCTGTTGTCTTCTCTGCAATTCAGCCCGTTGCTGTAATTCGGCCGAGTAGTAGGTATGTTGCTGTTGTTGTTGCTGTTGTTGTTGTTGTTGTTGTTGCTGCTGTTGTGCTCCAAACGCAAGACCCGCCGTGTCATCTGCACCACCATTAATAGCTGCGCCACCACCCGAACCACCCAAATAATTGGCAGGTGACACTTGTGGGTCATAAACGTCTTTCAAATCAGGGGTGCTATTGGCATTTGTTGAAGCAGCGGTATTTGCTGACCGTCTGGATGAACTCATAATGCAAAGCTGAACAGGAAAGCTCTAATTTCACACTTGATCCTATTTTTTTTGGAATTTTTTTTTGGAGGTGAACCTCTTTTAAGTTTAGTAGAATCTAATGATCAACAGGTAACGAACAAGATCTATCAGGAGTAATATGGTTCTATAAATGAAATAGTATCTAGGAGTTGTATGCTATTAAATTTGGTTGTAAAATTGATCCAGTCTGGTTTTTTATCTAGTCTGCAGGACTATTTTGAAAACCAAGTCTACTTACTATTACTCTCCTGTATAATGTATATTGTTCAGTTGGAAATTTTTATATACAAAATTTTTTTTTGTTGTTGTTCTGTTCTTTTACTTTGATGGTTGGTCGTGTACTAAATCACAATTTTGTCCAATTATACACTACCCACATTTCGATTGGGACTAGAACTACTCAATTCAAAGTACTATCACCACCTACACATCTTCACTTCTCTTATTTACGCCAGTTGAATAGTAACATTGAAACTATATAAATCAATCAATCAAGAAGAAGATGAAAAAAAAAAGACTAAGAAATAAAAAAATAGCAAGAAACACTTTAAACCTGCATCACAGTATGTTGAAACTTTGACGGCAAAAAAAGAAAAGGCACCCAACAAGAACAATGTTTCTCTTCTTTAAACAGCTAATGGGAAGGATCCAGCCCATTCGGAAATCTCAGCCTTAACAGCATCCAATTTCTCGTCTTGTCCATTCAAGACCTTATTCTTGAAATCCTTCAATTTGTTGGCATCTTTGGGCAAATTAGCTTGAATTTCTTTAGCATATTTGACAGCAAAATCAATATAATCAACAATTCTCTTGAAATCTTCTTCACCTAAACCTCTAGTTGACATTGCTGGTGCACCAATTCTAACACCACCTGGAACCAACGCTGATTTATCACCAGGGATGGAATTCTTGTTCAAGGCAATGTTGATTCTTTCACAAACAGTTTCAATTCTGGCACCATCAATTTGTTTATCCTTCAATGAAACAAGAACCATGTGAGAATCAGTTCCATCACTGACTAATTTATAGCCCTTGGCTTTAAATTCTTCTTCCAAGGCCTTGGCGTTCTTAACAACTTGTTGTTGATAGTCTTTAAATTCTTGTGTATCGGCTTGCTTCAAAGCAGTAGCCAAAGCAGCAATGGTGTGGTTATGTGGACCACCTTGATGACCTGGGAAAACTGAGAAATTGATGGGGTTTTCCAAATCATATAAAACTTCTTGTCCCGTCTTTGGATTGACGGATCTAACTCCTCTTCTAAAGAAAATCATGGCACCTCTTGGACCTCTCAATGACTTGTGGGTCGTAGTGGTGACAATATCAGCATACTCAAATGGTGATGGGATAACACCGGCAGCAATCAAACCGGAAATATGAGCCATATCAACAACAAGATAAGCACCAACTTTATCGGCAATTTCTCTCATTCTCTTGTAATCAATCAATCTACAATAAGCACTAGTACCAGCAACAAGGACTTTTGGTCTGTACAAAACAGCAGTCTTTTCCAACATATCATAGTCAATCAATCCAGTCTCCAAATCAACTCTATATGGCATAGTTTCGAAATAAGTTGAAACAGCACTGATTTTCCTCAGGTCAGTTTGATAACCATGAGATAAATGACCACCATGAGGTAAATCTAACCCCATTAATCTATCATGAGGCTTCATAATAGCTTGGTAAACTTGTAAATTGGCTGGTGATCCACTTAATGTTTGTACATTAACTCCCCACTTATCTGGAGTCAAGTGGAAGGCTTTCAATGCTCTTTCTTGACACAAAGTTTCCATTCTATCAATATGTTCATTACCACCATAGTATCTAGCACCAGGGTAACCTTCAGAGTATTTGTTACTCATTGGAGTTCCCAAAGCATCAAAAACAGAGGTGGTGGTGAAGTTCTCACTAGCAATTAAAACAATCGAGTGTTTTTGTCTATCAACTTCATCTTTGATAATTTGATCAACTTCAGGGTCAGTGTCCTTTAAATGACCTTCAGTCAATTGTCTGTGAGATTCTGATAAGGCGTATGGCATTGTTTTATCTTTAGGTGCAAATGTTGTATATCTCTTGTATTAGAGTAAAGAAGAAGGAAATGGGAAAAAGCTTTCTTTTATACAACGTTTCTAATGGGAGGAAGGATGTTGATAAATTTTTCAAATGACCCACCGAAAGAAGAAAAAAAAGAAAAATAAAAAACAACGTGTTACACGTGATCAACTCCTGCAACAGAGTCAAAAAAAATCATTTAATTTAAACATTTTTTTAATTGCAGAAGACTGTTGGCCATTTGAAATGCTATATCCCATGGGTAGGAACAATCACATGTGTAAGACAAGGGGATAAAGAGGTAGCTCAATAAAGAATAACATTGCATATAGTTGAACTTGTTTGTTACTAAACAATTAACTTTTATGTAGCAACTGTAATACATAACCCTAGATGGTTTAATCTTTGATTCAGTTTTGCTGCAAATTTTACACCAAATTTGATTGACAAATGCAAATATCTTGACAGTACTGACGATTTGATCCGTAAAAAGATCTGAGAAAGCTACAGAAATGTATAACTTCTGTATTCTCTTATAGTAAGGACATCTTATCATCCACCCATCTACAACTTAGCAAGAACTACATTATCAAGTGTTTTGTATATAAATACTTCATATACTTTATACGTGTATACATATATACATATATATATTCTTTAAAAATCCAGTTTGTATAACAAACAACACCTTCTCAAAGTGAAGCCTCTCAGTACAAGGTTACTCTTAACCTATGAGCAAACGCCAATTTAGGCACAACCACACAAAGACAACTAACGCCATTCAAAATGAATAAATTCAAATTATAATGAGAATAATGAGTACTGATCAAAAACAAACAAATAGGAACCAACATTAAAAACTTCTTCGTAGGAGTATACTGATCACCATTATCAATTTGTTCCCACATGGTTAAATTATCATACGCACCTGAATTAAATTCAAATGGTGTTCCTTTAACCTGGTGAAACATGATATATGATCCAATAGTATAGGTCAAGTTAGTCAAGGTCCATTTCCAATCATTATCCAAAACACTGATGAAGTTGTAGAAAACCTTGAGCAATACAATAATGACGATATGGATAATCCATGCACCCTTTTGATCGACCCAATTGGCATTAAGATTTGGGTTCAAAGCTTGATCAATCTTGGTATCCAACGTATCGGGTTCCAAGTGTTGGATCAATGACGATGATCTACGCTGTCTAGTGACTGTTTGTGCTGGCTGATGATGAGATGGGGTGGGTGTTAATTCAGGATTGTTGTAACTGTTACTCCTAACGCGGGATGGCGATGTACTGCCATTTGGTACTGCGGTGGATCCATTAGGAGGTATAGCACTTCCTCTCCTTGAAGTAGCTGGTCTCTGATTGGACGCGTATCCGGATGCTGTACTTGTTGATGAGCCTTTAGGTGACGTATTGAGATGATTGTAGTTGTTGTTGCTGTTGTTTTGGGCTATACTTGATGAAATCGATGACGTGGTATTGGCTATATTAGTCGTAATTGTAGATCCTGTTGATGTAGCAGACTCCTGGTCCAATGGTTGTTGTTGTTGCTGTTGTTGTTGCTGACTTGGAGGAGTAACTGTTATCTCTGCTGGTTTTAGCAATGGTGACGTAGCTGTGGCAGAAGATGTTGACTGTTTTGAGTCTGATGATACTTCAGTCATTGTTTCAAAGTGATTAAATTGGTTCCGTGTGTGTGTGTAAAATTGTTAATTCTTTGTAAGTTGATAAGCTAATAGTAGGATATAACTCTATTGGTTATATATATATACATATATATCAGTTAAAGCTCTTGGTGTGTAGATCTAAAGATTATGGTGGTGAGTGGTGATGAGTGGTGGTATTACCAATTGGTCTAAATGCTTGTTGTTATCTCAAAGGCGAGTGAGTGATCAAAAATTTTTTTTCTTCTTCGTTTTCGTTTTTGTTTTCCTTTCGGTCTTTTTCTGTTTTCAAAGGGATAAAGAGAATTTTGCCTCCTTCTGTTCTTGTAAAGATGTATATATATATATCACTACACAACACAGAAGATAGATGGAATACTATTAACTAATAACCTAACTGTGTAAGTAGATGGATAGTAAACAATCAATTGAAATGAAGAGTATACAAATAGCTACACTTTTCATTTATGGTTTGTATTTCCCAACTTTATTTTGTTCTCATGTTATCGTATAACTCTTGCCAAAGAAAGGGTATACGAGCATAATTCTCGCTGTTGAGCTAGCATACCACAATAGATCCAGTCCTTCATTATGAATTATCAGCTAAACGACATTCTCTAAATTTCTTTTGGTATACACACACACTCTCTCTCTGTTAACATCATAGCAGTTTTACACCCCTCTTACTTCTCTTCAACTCATATGTAATTATGATCAGTTCCTAACTCCAACAACTTTTCCTCATCATTAATATAATGTAAATAAGTCTTCAAGTCTTGAGTGTTGACCATATTAATAAATGAACTTCGTAATGAACCATTGCTATCACCGTGTAACTTGCCCGTACCGCCAGTCAACTGATCAACACAGGATGACAATTTGTAGATTTCTTGATCCTGAAACAGAGGTTTAAACCTGGTGGTTTTATAAGAAACATAACTTGAGTAATTATAACTTGGTAACGATTTGGTTAAACTCGATAGATCAAATTGAGATGCGTACAAATTTGCATTTGAATCATCAACAGTCGGTGGCGTTGATGATGATGAAAAGGCATTAACATCATCATCTCTACCACTACCTTCATTACCACTAGCATTACCTAGTTTGCTACGGTGTTCTGAGCCCAGATTATGCGATTTAGAGCCAGGGTAATGCCGCTCGTGTTTGCCCAACTTTTTTGTATTTTGCCTGGCGGTGATTTTAGAAGCAAGAAAGGTCTTGATGTTCTTGGGATTATATTTGCCACTTGAGCTTCGAACCACTCGTTTACCTTTACGTGGAACAGATTCACAATCATTACCACATTGGCTCAACAGGTGCTCCAAATACGAAATCTCTTCACCACCGACTGCTTTATCCGAATGTTTCAACTTGCGACTTTCAAACGGACTGTAATCAAATCGTATGGGTATGTCTTCATTCACCAGCAGCTGCAGTTGCAGTTGCAGGCTCAGCTTTAGTTTCAGTTTCAGTTGCAGTTTCAGTCGCAGATGCGGTTGCAATTGCAGATCCAAGTGCAGCTGCAGCAACAGCAGTAACAGTGGGAAATATTGGGAATTTGAATTCATGTTGAATTGAAACAAATCAGTAAATGATTGATATTTACGTGGAGCGTAGCATTCATTATACCATTTGTCATTAGACTCAGCAGGGTGGTGAGTCTCCTTCCACTTCAGTTTATCTTCCTCGTCGCTTCTTGCTCTGATCCGAAATCTATCATCTTTTAAATTTGCCTCATTAAACCAATGTGTATAACTCCTCTTTGGTTTCATTTCCAAATCAAAATTAAAATGCAATCCAAAATCATTACTCAATTCCCATAATTTGGGCTTTTCTGCAGAATATATATAGTTGCCCAAAAACAAATTGATTGCTTCTTGTCGAATGGAATCCATAAATGAGTTGGAATACATTCGTTTAATACTGTTTAACATATCTCTAGTATGGGATGACCATTGATTAATCCGTCGATACGAATCCATGGTGTTGACTAAATTAGATCCACCATATTGTATGGCAATTGTATCCCCATGATCATGGAAAATCTCCGTCAAGATATTGATTAAATCAGATTCATAGTCTAGCGTTTTACCGACAGATATCAAATCCAAACTTCGCAATTGCTTGGTCAAGGCTTCTTTACATATAATAAATTGCGCCGCATTTGTACGATCTAAACAATCGATACAATTTGTTCTAATTATCCCCTTTTGTAGTCGAGTGTTGTTAATGGTAGTGCCATTATGGAAAATACCAATCTGACTTATAGCCTCATGGGCAATGTTTTGCAATGGAGTAATCACATCCATATTCTTTTTCGAATTTTTAGACATGTCAAATGATCGGTATTGTAGCTTGCTCCTTTCAGGTAAAAACTGATTAAGATAATTGACACAATTAATGTATTGTACATTCAATCTCAGTTCTCTTGGCTGTTTCTCTTTTTGCTTAATTAGATTCAAAATGATGATTGGCGATCCATACCGATAAAATAAATCATCGAAATGGAGAGCAGAACTTTGATAAAATGGATCAGGCAAATTAATTTGTATAGGTGGTTTGGGCAACTTATTCATATCTTGAGTCCAAAATAAAGGGATCGATCCTCGATGTTGGACAAAGCTGGTGTACCTGGGATTATTATATATTCCATACTTGGGATCATGGAAACTCGAGGTCAACATATCGCTAACAATCTGTTCTGTTTCAATCTCATTAGCTACATTGCCCTTATCATTGATACCACGCTTCAAGAAACGAGCACCAGCAAAATGATGCGACCGGCGGGCAATTATAGTGATGTAAAACTTTCTTCCATATATTGAGATATTGGCCTGATCGATAAAGCCATGAACAATAGGTTGAAACCACTCAAATGTGGCAACATCATCACTTTCCAATATTGGCTTCAACAATAAATTATTCCAAACAAATCGTTCATTATAATCAAAGTTGCCGTATAGTTTGTTCTGTACTTTGGCATGTTGATCAGGACAATTGTATAGCTTATGACGCATGAAATTAGTCTGCATCGAATTGGTTATATCGTAATTGTAACTGAAATAAAAAGTCTTGCTCAAGTCCATATATCGAAAGAGTGAAAGCAACTTCTCTTCATCACTATACTTTTCGGGTCGCCTATAATTTGTTCCCAACGGAATCAATTTGGTTTCATCTATATGGTAAATGAAATGCCCGCCTAGTATTGCCACTTGAGAACATTTAGTGATTAAATTCAAGTAGTACCCCTTGGTGAATCTAACCAACCCTAATAATCCAAACCCTTGTGCTAGTTTATGTAGCCCACCTTCGACTGAATCGTTTAGCCCATTGAGCAATTCAATCATATCCTTACGCGTGTAGAAATAACTCTTGTCTTCGATAATAGACAACAGTTGCTCATCCTCAACGTCCTTGGCAATCTCCAAAATCCGATACAACGATTCTTTAGCGTTGGACCCAACAATGTACATTGTAGAGGCAGAGTTGTAAACAGTGAATCGTTGTAGTAGGATCCGCTTGTATACTTTAGTTCGTTCACTGTTTCCCTCTTCCCCTTCTGGTGCTCCCTCTTCTTCTTCATCATCATCATCGACATCATTTCCTTCTTCTTCCTCTTCCTCTTCCTCTTCCTCTTCCTCTTCCTCTTCCTCTTGAACACTTGTTTCAAAGTCTCCTCCGTCGTGGTATACTTTGCTGCTGGTGGTCGTATCTTCAGCACTCGATGTGATTATATCATTTTTGAAATCCTCCTCCCTTTCATTGGTAACAATTGAGCCTTGATCATTCATATAGAACCGTTGGGAGATGGTCGTAGTAGATAATGCGACTGCTGAGATATCCTTGTGGTAATTTCTAAATGTACACACACAATATCAGATCTGATGATTTGAATTGAGCGGTGCGGCAAAAGACATCGTTATCACTGGACACCATTTTTTATTTTTAGATCTCCTTTGCCCCTCCTCCACCTACACAGCTCAACATAATTATAATGACATTAACCATACTTGACTTGGGAGAAGACATCTTAACCTACGGTATCTCCCGCTACTTATCACCCGATGATATCTTTAAATTCTTTGCTTTGAATTCCACCTTGTACAAGCTCTTTCAAACATCCCCCACAATTTACCAATTGCTTTATAATAAAAAGTTCACCAACAATGAAAACAACTACACCTTAAGCTTGCAGCAACACCTCAACTGGAAACAACTTTGGCAGCTTCGGTGTGATAAAAACCAGCAAGTTTTTACTTGGGGTGAAAGTAATGGCGGTCGATTGGGATACTTGTCTACAAGAATAGACCAGTCACATGTACTGAGAAAATTGGGCGGTTGGTCTGTACACATCCCCACAAACATTCCTGAATTCAATCGGCATCTTGTTGTTGATCTCAAAGCTAATGGTTATAGCTTTGTTATATTGTTGAATAATGGCGAGTTGTGGTTTACAGGCATGGATTGGAAGCGGCCCCAACAAGGGTTATCAACTCCTGGACCGGTAAAAAGTAAAGATTACAAGCCAAATCCTGGTACAATGGCATTAAGCAGCATGAATAACAACGCAGAGGATACTGTTGGTGGCAGAAGGAGCATTATACGCGGTACATTTTCGCGAGGCGGTGGTAGGACTGGAGTAATGCCTATGCCAATTAGTGGAAGGTACACTCATGACGGAAGCAGTGAAAGTGATGAGGATGGCAGCTCAACGCAGGAAGGCTCGAGTAGTAGCAATACCCAGGCTCCGCCTTCAACAACGGCACCAGCACCAGCGCCGGCCCCAGAAACTTCTTCACAATTGCCGCAGTCTAGAAGAAGACTTCAACCTAGTGAATCCAGATCCGCATTGAGACATCCACCATCAAAGATTCAGGAGACCAATTTTTTGTCACGCTTGTTTCTCCCGCCAATTAATGGATCTGACGACAGAAAGATCATTTCCATCAGCACAGGAAGAGAACATATCGTTGCTCTAGATGACCAAAATAACGTATACACTTGGGACTCCGGTTGCAATTCAAATATAGGTATACATATCCAATTTCATGATATACGAGAGGATTCAAACATTGTCAAGGTTGCAGCAGGATGGAACTTATCAGCCTGTCAAATCGATACAGTGGGTTTGGTTGTGTGGTACTCTAGGGAACCATTGACCAAAGTGCAATTTGATCAACAAAACTACCAAAGCAGAGCCAAATACTTGATCATACCGGGGACCGAAAACAATGTTGTTGATTTCACAGTAGGCACGGATTATGTGCTATTTATTAAGAAATCAGACTCTACATTGCATCAATTCAGAGTAAATGCCCATGATTTATCAACCAGAGACGATGAACTGTTAGACATTAATGATTTGAAACGAATGGTTACTTCAATGGACAATTTCAATGACTGGATTTCGCAGCAGGAACAGAGTGTTCAATTCACTCGATTAAATAGTTGCTATACCAACTTTGTCGTATTTACCAATCATGATCAAGTCTTGATTGGATCCAAAGCCCATTTGCTATACCACATTAGTGAAGAAGAAGGGCAAGGCAAAGAGCCCGTGGTCATTCCCGACTTGCAAGGGCAAAGCATCAAATCGATCGAGATTGGCGATTATCATTATTTGGCATTGACTAATGATGGATCATTGCTTAGCTGGGGAACTGAATCGAGGTCATGTGGTTGCTTAGGTATTGGACCACGGGAATTGGCAGTTTCCGAGAATGTAGATAATGTGGTTGAACGCGGAGTAAATTTAGAGGTTAAGCGGCCAATGCATGTGAAAAATCCATTGGGAAGTAGAGTTAAAGGTAAATGGGTAGCTGTTGCAGCTAGCGGATGGCAATCTGGTGGTATATATGTACCACTTGAGGAATGAAGGGGTGAGGTTGTGGTGAAAGCATGTCTCAGTTCAGGACAAAGAGATAAAGAACAGTTTAATTGTTACTCAATGTAGTAAAAAAAAAGTGCAGGACATGATTAATGAATTTCGAACGTCACTACCTGTCATGATATATTGCGAACTTCTATAATATACCAGAAAGGACATACGCTTTTCCAACCTATAATAATAGAAACTGAAAATCGCTTATTTTGCTCAGAAGGTTCACACTTTATGAACTCTTTTTCTAAAATCCTTCCATTGTATGTTGCCTTCAAATGGTATCACTTTTTGCAGTTACCCAAAAGCTCAACCTTATATATGTTCATCGATGGCCTTTTTAAGTGCAGGCGAATACTAACAGCGGCTTTTGCCTCATTAAAACGAGTGAGATTTTCTTTCAATTTTTTTTTTCCAACTTCAAATCCACTTCTTGTCAGTAACTAAGAACAGCTAATTCACCAACCTCACCACCCCCAACAGCTAACAAATGTCAGCTTCAGCTAATACAGTATACGGTGGAGACGAAATAAATGCCATTGTACTAGATATTGGCTCTTTCAATATCCGTATAGGTTATGCTGGTGACGATTTCCCCAAAATCATAACACCTTCCTATTATGGACAATTATCCAATGGCACCAAAGTGTTTGGCGAGGGTATCAATGTCCCACGTTCAGAACCATTTGAAATCAAACCTATGGTTAAAGACTCTTTAGTTGTTGATTGGAACGCTGCGATTGAGCTTTTTGCTTATTATTTTAAGCAATTGAAGATAGTGGAAAAGGAACAACCTATACTAATCACTGAACCCATATGGAGCACTAACGAATACAGAACGAAATTGATTAATTCAATTTACCAAAAGTTTGAATTTCCCGGATTGTATTTGGCCAAAGTCCCCTCGTGTGTTAGTTTCCAACAAGGAAGAGCCAATTGTTTAGTTGTTGATTTGGGTCACGAAAGTGTTAGTGTTACCCCTGTTGTTGATGGTATCTGTCTAATCAAAAGCTCATTGAGAACCCCATATGCTGGTAAGTTTTTGAATCTGATTGTTGAAGATTATATCGCCAAAGAAGGCATTGCTGTCGAACCAAGTGTATTTATTAAAAGTAAAACGGCTACAAAATATCCTGAGGAGAAGGAAGCGAAATTTGAGTTGAAGAGTAATGTTTCCAATGTTAGTGAGCTGTTTAAACAGTATCAGTTAGCTAGAATATGGCACGAGTTTAAGGAAACTATGTTGGAAGTGCCATCTCAGGAGGCAAAGAAATTACTCGCCAATTCGGAATCCTCCTCGTCCGATTTACCCGAGTTTTCCAAAAGATCATTTGAAATACCCACTGGTCAATCAATAACACTCGGTCAAGAACGATTTGAAATTGCCGAAACTATATTTGACCCCAGTTTTTATAAATTTGATAATCCAGACTTGCAACCACCACCATCCAATGGGGAGATACCTGGAATAGAATTCAATACAATCAATGAATACCGGCCAGTGAAACGTCTTCGTAAAAACGAAGATGGTGAAGATGGTGAAAACAGGAAGAATGAGGTACGCGGTGTCGCGCAATTGGTTTCACAAGTCATTTCAATAATAGATATAGATTTACGAGCTTCATTGGCAAATAACATCATTGTTACCGGTGGCACATCATTAGTTACGTCACTTACGGAACGATTGTACCATGAACTACTGAACAACAACCCTGGTTTAAAGATTAGATTGCATGCAGTGGGAAACTCGTTGGAAAGAATCAACCAATCTTGGATTGGAGGCAGCGTATTGTCTAGTTTGGGTACTTTTCATCAAATGTGGGTCAGTGAAAAGGAATATAAAGAGGAAGGTGCTGAAAGAATATTGAATCAACGGTTCAGGTAAGTGTAGATGAGGCTTTTTAGTAGATTCAAAAATGTAACATTTAGAAGAGTGGGCTTTACAATGGATTGTAGTGTATCAGAAAAAAATGAACCTCTTGTCGTTTATGTACTTAGTTTCAATTTGGGGGTGTCGTTGTTGTTGTTTGCAACTGATTGCGAAAATTTTATTCGGCGTCAAATGCTGGTTTTAATGCGGTGGGGGAGTTTTGGGGTTTTGGTTATTGTTTCATGCACAAAATGTTAAAATTTAATTTTTCAGGCGTCTAATTTTCTGGCCTCCCCCCTTTATTGTATATGTTGGGTTAAAAAAAAAAAGTAAATGCAACAAAAGGACAAAAAGATCATTTATCATTCATTCAACTACTTGCTGTATTTTTATATATCGGACCATAAGTTTCCTTTTTCTTTGAAGTTATTATAAAATCACCTACATTTCCATTTTAGTTGATTCAATCTTTTTAGCTACCAAGAAAAGATCAAAAACTATCACCACCAATTGCAAACGCTATCTATGAGCAACAAGGAATTAATTAAAGGGGTTCTTCAATTAGACCCATGGTTGGAACCATTTTCCCAACCATTGATAGACAGACAGGTCAAGTTTCGCGAGTGGTTATCAAATCTCGATTCGAGTGAAGGTTCCTTGTCACATTTTGCCGATTCCTACAAAACCTATGGATTGCATGCCACTTTGAAAGGTTACAAAATTGTCGAGTATATCCCCGACGTTGAACAAGTTAGCTTGGTGGGCGATTTCAATAATTGGAGTATCGAAGCTCATCCATTGAAGCAGGTTAATAATTTCGGCCGTTGGGAATTGGAGATTGAAGGGGCGGGTATTATCCCACATGATTCAAGATACAAGATTGCTATGAAGTTGCCAAGTGGCGAATGGATTTATCGATTGGACCCTTGGTGTAAGAGAGCCACTTTTAACAAAGATGATAATTTGTATGAAGGTAGGTTTTGGAACCCTCCAGCATCTGAAGTTTATCACTTCAAAAACAAGCGACCAGTATTGACTCAAGGTATTAAAGTTTACGAAGCCCATGTTGGTATTTCGACACCCGAGCCCAAGATTGGCACTTATAAAAATTTCACGCAAAATATTTTACCCAAAATTCGTGAATTGGGGTATAATACTATTCAACTAATGGCAATTATGGAGCATGCTTATTATGCATCGTTCGGTTATCAAATTACCAGTTTCTTTGCCGCCAGTTCAAGATACGGAACACCAGAAGACTTGAAGGAATTGATTGATACGGCTCATGGATACGGAATCAGAGTCTTGTTGGATGTTGTTCACTCGCACAGTTCGAAAAATGTAGCTGATGGATTAAATATGTTTAACGGAACCGATCATTACTTGTTCCATGGTGGCGGAAGAGGGAACCATGATTTATGGGACTCTCGTTTATTCAACTATTCAAACTATGAAACATTGCGATTCTTGTTGTCGAATTTGAAATTTTATCTCGATGTGTATCAATTTGACGGGTTTAGATTCGATGGGGTTACTAGTATGTTGTACAAACACCATGGATTGAGCTTTGGATTCAGTGGAGACTACAACGAGTACTTTAACGAAGAATGGGCTGATAATGAAGCTATTGCTTATTTGATGTTGGCCCATCAATTAATGAAAGAAGTAAGTAAAAAAGACCATATAGAAATCACCTCCATTGCTGAAGATGTTTCGGGAATGCCTACATTATGTCGTCCAATTGACGAAGGTGGAATTGGCTTTGACTATCGGTTATCTATGGCTATCCCTGATATGTGGATCAAGATTTTAAAACACCAAAAGGATGAAGATTGGGACCTTGGTAACATTGTTCATACTTTAACCAACCGTCGTCATGGCGAGAAATGTATTAGTTACTGTGAATCCCACGACCAAGCATTAGTTGGAGACAAGACCTTGGCTTTTTGGTTGATGGATAAGGAGATGTACACCAACATGTCCAAGCTTAGTGAATTAACTCCAGTAGTTGATCGTGGATTGGCATTACACAAACTAATCCGGTTGGTAACTTTTGCATTAGGTGGAGAAGGGTATTTGAATTTCGAAGGTAATGAGTTTGGTCACCCTGAATGGTTGGATTTTCCCCGTGCTGGAAATGGGGAGTCGTACCATTATGCCAGAAGACAGTTTAATTTAATTGATGATGATTTGTTACGATACAAATATCTTTTTGACTTTGATTCAGCTATGCAACATTTGGATGTATTGGATTCGCCACAGGCCTACGTATCGTTGAAACATGAGCAAGATAAAGTATTGGTTTTTGAAAGAAATGGGTTATTATTTATTTTTAACTTTAGCCCCACACAATCTTTTACCGATTACAAAGTCGGAGTTGAAGCTGCCGGTAAATATGAGATCGTTTTGAATTCAGACGAGGCAAGGTTTGGTGGCCACGATAGAATACAAGATCCTGTGCCTGGTAAAAAGCAAGAATTTTTCACAAACAATGACGCCTGGAATAATCGGTCTAATTCATTGATGGTTTACATCCCAAGTAGAACCGCCATTGTTTTGAAGAAGGTAGATTAAAATATGGTAGTAGATCATCTATTAGAACAGATTGTTTGGATTTATTTACAACTAGAATAATGTCACATTTCACTGTGTGAATTTTGTCAGTTTTGACTTAATTTTTGTAAATTATATCAATGTAGCCCTAGATTTGGGTCTAAATCATTGTAGAGTTATCCATTTTGATTGTGAATGTGATGAAGATTGGAATCAGTTGTTTGTTTGAGATATGATGAGGTCAAAAGTGAGCGCAAATTAAAAAAAAAAAGACGCAAAAATCTATTTTTCCAATTCTCAAAGTGTAAACAAACGAAAACAAAACAAACAAAACAAACAAAACAAACAGAACATAAACAGAGACACGCAATCGACACACATCTAATATATACTCACCAACTACAGCCTATATTATAGCTTATCCCCACTAAACCCCAATGGAACTATTACAGTTGGGGAAGAAATCCCGAAAGCTTGGATTAACAATCAACAAGAATCTTCATCGAGATGAATATGGCATGGAAGACATCGAGGAGTTTTTTGCTGATGACACACAGGCACAAATCGTACTTCAAGAACAAGAAGATAGAGTGCTACGGCAAGGAGAAATTTACAAGTCACCCACATCGTATAACACAGCAAGTGGGGGAGGGGAACGTGGCAGCGGTGGTGTTGGTGCTGGTCGTCGGGTGATACCGAATATATCACATTATGACCTTGAACAAGTGGCTGAAGATGTACCCCCATATGATTCCGGGTTCGATTTGGAAGACGTTAATGATGACTTATTGGAGCAAGAAGATCAGTCACCTTTCAATTACGTGGCAAGAAAGATTGATTTTGATTATGGTGCTGAAGAGTCAAGTGGAGCCAGAGGAAACAAAACTAGTGAAAGAGATGCACATGGAGTCAACCAATCAATAGGAACCAATAAACAGTCTCCATTGAGATCACCATTACCAGAGCAACGGCAGTCAAGTGCAATAACTGGTGCTTCCCAGGTAAATGATTTTCTCGAAGAAGAAGAAGACGACTATAACTATGACTATGACTATGGCCAGCACGACAATAATGATGGCTTTTACCAAAACCAGGATCAGTATCTGGATCAACTTGAAGCTATTGGTCCGGCTTCAAGACAACACAATTTACGTCTGCGCTCACAATCACTAGAACCAGAGCCGTTACGTTCAGGTCGAGGTACAGAAGGCGTTCGATCGAGAAGACGGACTGAACAGAGGCGTAAAAGGCGAAATAGTCTTCTGGAACTGGAAGAAAGTACACAAGCTTCCGTCTCTGCATTTAACGAAGATACTAAAGACACGGATGAGGACAATGCTACTGAAATCAGCGATGCAGTTGACTCAACCGCCACTGACCTATTCGTCCGGTCATCATCATCCACAGAGCCCAGTCAGATTCAAGGTGGAAAACAAAGTACTAGATCGCGAGTGTCAAGAGCAAAAGCGAATGTATCACCTACTACATACATCACTGAAGTACCTTCTTTGCCGTCCCCACCACCAGATGGATTACGAAGATCAAAACGTATTAGAGTTAAGCCTTTGGCATTTTGGCGTAATGAGCGAATCATATTCACCAAGCCTCATCAAACGCGGCCAGATGAAGACGAAGAAGAAGAAGAAGATGACGACGAACCTGATATGACTATTGTGAGAGATATCCATAAACTACCATTGAGATCAATTGCTGAGGTTGTTCATGTACCTGACACTGCACAAATATTAACGCGTCACAATCGCCGCAACACAAGACGAAAACCAGTTGATGCACCTATATCACCGCTCAGTGCCGATGAGCATGATCAAGAAGAACAAGAAATTTTGAATGCAGAGTTACCTGGGACATCCTGGTACAAGGATAAAGTGTTGAAGATAGATGTACCAGAAAATGGTCAATTTGTGGAGCGGTCAATTGCATATAGCTCACAATATGGTGATTTCCAATCAAAATCTATTGTCAATGAGGATGGAACTACTTCGGAAGATCCTAATTTGAAGATTGCTACGTTATTCAATGATGACCTACAGAATTGTGCCGTGGGAGTGATTGAATTGAGTGGAGTTAAACCACCAACGAAAATTACCTTCAGTACTTACTATCTACTCGTGGTCAAGGGAATTGTTGAATTTACTTTTAATGAAGAGACATTTGTGGCAAACAAAGGATGCAACATATGCATCCCACTGGGGAATGAGTATGGGTTGAGAAACTTGGGCAAAGAACCTGCACTTATACATTTTGTTCAGGTCAGAAGACCAGAAACAGAGCAAGATGAAGATGACGCTGGTGATGCAGGTAGGAAAAGTAGGGACGAAGATGATAGTTGGTGATGGGAGATAATGATGGGCAGTGATTCACTTGCGCTAAATGGAAGCTGAGAGAGTGGCTTGAAACAACTTATTTACTGGTGTCCATACTGCTGAGGGGACAATTGCTTGTGAGTGTTTATTTCACGGTACTTTTGAAGAAGTCAGGAAGTTTAGGATCTCGAAATCGAAGTCTGTCCAATTTCCATCATGCTAGTAACTGTACATCACTGATTCTACAAAAGCTCGCTTAGGGGCGAAATACATCCATGGTGCCATATGTATAGCCTAGCTCTAATTCAAATAAATCTGTTCAAATAAACATTATTAATCACGAAATAAAATTACTAAATATCGAACCATAACAACAGCTGGAACAATAATTAACAAAACCTCAAGACATCCTCTCCCTTTTCTGTGTTTCCTGTATAAGTCTTACTTCCCGGCTTGACTCAGCTATTTCTTGAGTTCTTGAAGAGCTGCCTTAAGGTTCTCTAGCTCCAGATCTTCCAAAGTCCTGGGAGGGGTGTCTTGGATCATGCTGTACCAAGCTGAAAACAAACCAGGACTATCATCTTCATGGTGATTATGTTTAACAATCCTAAGAGTCGGTTTGTTGGGACTGCAGCTGGTACCCTCTGTCATTTCATCTATACTATTGTGAATTCCAAAATCAACTCGTGTAAAAATAATTGGAGTAACGAGGTACCCACTGTTGCATTTGAGGTCTTTCATATATCCACCCATTTGAAGCAATATATCCCGGTGAAGTTTGGTACTTTCGTGACAAAAATGGGTTAGCTCCATTCTTTTTAATTCAATGATAAATGCACCACCCCTATCTAATTGTACCACAAAGGGGTACCGAGTATTTAGTGGGCTGCTCAGTTTCAATTTGATGGATTGTCAGTTCTTGCTCTATTGTACCACCTAGGTAATTTATCAAAGGATCTAACCAATGACTTAATGTTATGCTCAAATGGACCTCCTTAGATCCCATATTGTACAGGGGAATGGTAAATGCCAGGATGTGGCTGAGGTGTCTGAAAGAGGATAACTCAATTTCGTCCACTGTAGTTTCGTCGAAGTGGAAAATGTCGGATTCCTCTCCTAAAATATTTTTTGTAGCACCTTTATTGGTACTAACTTCAAAATATGATAATTTAAAATATGAGCAGTGTTGGAAATTGACTAAATTCTGTAGCCAAGTGTCATAAGTGATGGTGGAATTGTTGTTAGCTCTACAATAGGCATGTATAGAGGAAAGAAATTCGGTAATTAAGCCTATCATAGGTTCTGATAATGGTTTCTCAAATGAGCCAGCGGATGGATTAGAAGATTGAACTAACTCCATCAAAAGTTTTAGAAAACATTTCTTCTCTTCTGCATTTAACCTGCAAAGGCGATGTTCAAACGCATTTTTGATTAACTGTTTTGTCCTTCTGTTTTCTTGTGATGGCGCTAGGTCTTCGTTTACGAAATCACGTATGTCTTTCCATTTTAAACGGTTAGAGCTGAATTGAATAGTGCCCATATATTCTCCTGCTTTGTATCTTTTTAAAAGATTATCGATGTAAATTTTCAAGTTAAGGTAGTCGTATAACTTTGATGTATGTTCCATTTTCTATTAATTGATGGAAGCTCTCAATAGACAATAGTGAGGTAGCTCAACTAAGTCAAACTTACATCTCATAACTCTTAAAATTTAGAACAAAGTTACAAATACCAAAGGTGGCAAAAACTCCGGTATGCTGTTGGACATGGCACATGACTTGCCTATTGATTGTACAACCCTTGGTTGCAAATGGAGGGCTTTGTGTAAATGCGCAACCCGACGAGCAAAATTAAGCGTCTGTTGTACACCATGGACGTTCTGTTCTTTTTTTTTGGTTTTGTCTTACTCTTTCAAGTCTAATTGTTTGTATTCCATTATAGTTTGACCTTGGTGACCTTATTGATACAAGAGGCCCTCATATATTATATTTAGCTCGCTGTCAGAGAAGCACTTCTTAAACCGTATAAAATATTGTCTTTGGTTCTTGTAGCCAACACTGTATTTAGTACTGATTACACAGGTTTCAAAAGGTTCAAGAAAATGGTAACCCATGATACCTTGTGGAAGCTGAGGGCTTAGCAAGTTAATGTCGTGGGTGAGGTGAATGGAGTATCCATCTTTTGGGAATTTAATATATTCGGTTCGGGGGCTATAAGACCGTAGTTCCAACACTTGAGGTGGTTTCTTGGTTCATACCACCAGTTAATAGTGAAATTGGGAAAGTTTGAACATAGCCCGCCTATCATTCTTGCTGTATGGTGATCGCTATATTTGCTTGCAACAACAAGCATACTTATCCCTTTGTGGGTATAGTTTCTGAGGTCTTGGATAGTTGGCGCTTCGTCTACTTTTCCATGATGCCTTACGCAGAGCTATGTGAGATGTGGATAATCTTTATCCAACTGTTGGTTTGTGAACACTTTATCAAAGTCAATTATTCCGACAATGGACAATTCCGGAATAAAGAAGTATCAAATACCTCACTTATACGATAAGCAAGTATTTACGGTTCTACTTGGTGAATGTGTAACTTTCGCAATCTTAGATTTTGTCTACCATCGAACTTATAGTTGTCCATTACCACAATTGTCAATGAAGTAATCAATGTAAACAAATCCAAATAATTGTAGTTCCTATTTGTATTGCAGTAAACTATAACATTAAGCGAAGTTTGAATACAGGCTGAAATCAGCCATGCATCTAGGTAGTAAGGTGCAGGTATAAACTCTGTAGTGATGATTAAAACGTATGGAAGGATCTCCTCATCTTCTCCAAAAAGCATGAATTCGATCAGTCCATCGTGTAACTCGGAAAAGTCTTCATAGCGATTGTGGAATGCCAGAATCATTTCAAAGCGCTGAATTGATCTAAAGTGTTTCAAAATGCGTACCAGAAGTGACTGATGAAAGTCTTTTAAAATAATATGATCAATCTTTTTGTCGCTACTCATTTGAGATAAGTACTTTTCATAATTGTGCCTTGATACGATGGTATATTGATTGGCTATTATGTTGTTGATGCCCTTGTGGAACTTGAATCGAAGGTTTCCTCCTTTTTCTTCTTCACCCTTTAATGGCCACGCCTCGTAGACATGAATATTCTGATACAATTTTGGCTTCGCTAAGCAGTAAAATCTCGAATGTAGTGGGGCAAGTGCCAAGACTTGGTGTTGGTTGATGTGGAGGAAGACGACCTGCAACACTTCATGAGGCAAATTCAATAAGCAAAACATTAATTATTAAATGGTAGTAATGTCAAGCTAGAGGAAGTGGGTCAACTACAATTGACAAACTATTTCCTTCCGGTTGCTCTTTTTTGAAGCTCACATATGTTTGATGGTAATCGACTGCACTTGCCTCAGGTCTAAATGGCAGCGCTACCACACGTTGTCGAATGTTCTACGAGTATATTTGAATGTGTGTCGCAGATAAGCAAGAGGATGGAGAGCAAGGAAAATATGGCAAAAGCTTATACCATTCTTTTTAGTATATAAATTTTAGTATATTTGTGGTGGACCAATAGCTTTGCTATTATTCCATCTTATATATCGCCAGATTTTCAAATGTCAAACTTTTCAGTCTTTGCTGACTCTTTATCATAGTGACCCACCAAAGGGACTTTAAACTCACTAGCGGCAACACCAAACTGCTTTAAAATTAAAGCCTGTCTAACATCCAATACATCACCCTCATTACACACCAAGTATGGAGTTTCCAAAACGATTTTCCCACTCTTGATCTTTGTGGGCATCTTGTATTTATTTCTCAATGTCTCTTCCAATGAATGTGACATGGGCACATCTTCCTCTTGAGGAATTTGTCCACCTCTAGAATAAACTATGCCTGCAGGAATTTCAAAAGTTATGGGAGATTTATTTTTAACTCTAGTGTAATCTTGTCTCTTGTATGCATCAAAGTAACTTTGCACAGTTGAATCATCCTCATTAGTGAAGAGAATACCTGGTATTAAGTCGTCAGTCTTGGACAAGATTTTGGTTAATTTGGCCAAATCAGATAAATATTCCTCTTCAGGGGTTTCACCGAATGCTTTTTGAATAACTTTCCGTTTACCTAAAATCAATTTGGAGCCAGTCCAGTCGGATCTTATGTCTTGTAGAACTGGAGTCCTGATATCTTTCATTTGTAATATCCAAACATTGGAATAGTTGTCAAGAGCAGATCTAATCTCATCGAAGAGTTTCAACTTTGATTCTTTTCCCTTTTTGTCGGTTTGTGATAAAGTGACTAATTTGGAGCGTCTAGATTTAGGCATGTTGTGTGGTAGGAGTTATAGTCTTATGCTGTTAAAACAAATCTTTCTGCGGTTTAGATGAAAATTGTGTTTTGTTGATGGGGGGATGAGCATCGCTTTGGATTTATTTTTTTTTTTTCTTTCCCTTTCACCAAAATTCTAGTCCATGAGAACACATTTACCAAGACTAAACTAGACTGAACAATGCTGATGAGTAGTGGCAGTTGTAGTTGTATGTTTGAAGAGTGATAGTAGAAGGGAATGAAAGAATAAGTTCTATCTTTGTGGCTAGGTTTAAATCCTAAATCTGTTTCTTGAAAAGCAGTGAGTACATTCCCAACAACTGGGTGCTTGTAGATCTAGTCCAATAGGTGTATATATTCTTCTGGTGATGGCATGAGGTTCTTTATGTTTGCCTGTCTTTCTGCCTGTCTGCCTGAACAGGACGGAAAGTACGTGTAGTTGGATGTTTCCCCTTTTCGTCATGAGCCGCACTGCCGCAATTGAATTTTTCTTTGATGTTGAAGTAAAACTTATCTGCCACGTACTTAGTCCCCCCACTCTACGCAACACCAATATACAAGTACAACACAGCAAGAGAGAGAGAGAGATTAGCCATGTCACTTAGTCTATTCAAAGTGAAGCAGACTTATTTTGAGAAACTATTCAAATCAAATGCAAATTCCGATCCTAACTCAAACTCAAACTCATCCTCCTCCTCCTCCAACCACGCCAACAAGAAAGTCCCCAAAGTATTGCTTCTTGACAATATAACCACATCAATAATTTCGTTATCATACACTCAATCACAGCTTTTGTCCAATGATATCATCTTGATTGAATTGATTGAAAACCACAAACGATTGTCGACAATGAAGCATTTAGACTGTATTGTCTATATCAACCCCAACTCAGCATCAATTAATCAATTGTTGGATGAAATGAAATCACCCCACTTTCGCAAGTATCGCGTGTTTTTCAATAATGTTGCAGGGAAGAATGATATTGAGCAGTTGGCAGTGGCCGATGAATATGATGGTATTGACCAGGTTTTGGAAATCTTTCAAGACTATTATATTTTGAATGATGAACTATACTTGAATAAATCGTTGTCAATGAGAAAGAGTGTCAATCCAGTATTGGAACAAGCTAAAAGTTTGACTAGCTTGCTCTTGGCTTTGAAAAAGAGCCCCATAATCATGTATGAGTCAAATTCAATTGACTTGAAGAAGCTCAGTTCCGAGTTGTTATACATCATCAATTCTAACTCAAATAACAATTTATTTGATGATTTGAATCAACGATCAGATACACCACCAGTATTGCTATTGCTTGATCGCAAGAATGATCCCATTACTCCGCTTTTGACTCCCTGGACTTACCAGTCAATGATTCATGAGTTTTTAACAATCGATAAAAATGTGGTTACATTACCTGATAATCAAGTTATACTTTCTCAACAAGATGATTCGTTCTATAATGAGTCCATGTATCTAAACTATGGAGATTTGACCAACAAATTCCAAAAATATGTCGAACAATACAAATCGGAAACTAAACAATCATCAATTGAAAACTTAAAACTGCAAAATCTAGCTGAATTGAAAAAAACCTTGACTAAGTTCCCTGAATTTAAAAAGATTTCCGTTAATATCTTGACGCATTTGAATTTAATTAGTGGCATAGATGAACAAATTTCTAAACAACAATTGTGGGATATCGGTGAATTGCAACAAACAATAATTTGTGATTTAGACAATCAACTGGATATCAAGAATAAAATGATTCAAGTTTTGGAAAATAAAGCCATATCTACCATGAATAAAATCAAGTTGGTGTTACTTTATAGCTATAAATTCCATAATCCTACTGATTTATCACTATTTATCGGTAAGTTGGAAAATGAAACCATAACTTCGCCATTGCCAAACCCAACGCAATTGGAATTGATGAAGAAATTTACCACCTTGTTCAAATCACATGACCTGGCCTTGGATTCAAATCAAGATCAGCATGAACAACATCAGAATCGTCAAGGATTATCAAATTTATTCACCAATCGAAAAGTCAATATCAATAACTTGTTCAACCGGAATAGTACTAACCATTCGGGTAATGATAACGTTTATCTACTGTACACACCAAGATTGAATCAAATACTAACCAATCTACTCAATCCACACGGTGGCGGTGCAACTTCGAATCAAGGATCGAATTTACACCCCAATTTGTCTACATTGTACCCCGAAGTCATCAAACAACAATATGGAGACACATCCGCTGATTCAATTCAAGATTTGATTATTTATTTCGATGGGGGAGTGACCTATGAAGAATTGCGCTTGGTGCATGAATTCAACCAAGAAAATAGGAAAATCAACATCATTATTGGTGGTGATGAGATGCTCAGTAGTGATGAATGGTTAAAGAAGATGTATCAAATGATTTCGAGAACTGAAAACAGTAATCAAGGCCATGAAGATGGTGGATTTGCAATGTCAACTCAAGACAGACAAGCACAACTAAGGGAAATCTTGTAATACAAAATACAGAATACATAGTACACACACACGCACACGCACACGCACATGCTTGACATCCACTTTTGCTAAACTATGGAGCATATTTACCAAATTGAATCTCCCATTCATTAATCTTGCGCTGTAAATCATCAATCATTAGTAATTTCTCATTATAGCTCGCCTCCAACGCTTGTTTTTCTTCAGCTATAGCCTCTGAATCAGGTGTAAATGAAAATAATTCAAATTTGTAATTTCGTTCTTGTTGTAAATCATATTGCGTCCTAGCTATCCATTCAATGATTGCACTGGTACGTTTACGCAAGTCGTATATGGATGATTGAGAACTAACGTAGCGAGGTTTATAGGGCGCTTGAATCAATTCGTCTTTATTTGCTTGTGCTGCTGTTGCTGCGGTTGTCGAAGTTGTTGCCGACGTGGAATTAGAATTAGCACCTGCACTTGCACCTGCATTGGCTACTGTCCCTGTTAGCGACGTATTAGACGATGATACATCTCGTCTCTTTTTACTCTTGCTTCGTGATTTTCTCGCATCGGTCCCTCTTGAAGATGTAGCAGATTTATTGCCGCCTGCCGTCGACCCACCTGTTTCTGAATCATACTCCTCATATTCTCGCTTTATTGACAGATCGTTATCAGCTTCTGAAGTAACACCAGATGCGCCACGGCTTGACCTCTTCCTCGGTGAATAATGACCAGTAGCAGTACTAGTATTTGCCACAGCTCCAGTTGCACTAGTGGTGTCTGATTCATCTATTGGTAAACCTGATTCTTTGGCACTTTCTCTCAAAGCCTTTTGTAATTGTTTATCATATTCGTCTTCGTCCAGATGATGGTGATGGGTTCGCCTATCTTTCCGTCTATCTTTATTCTGATCTGTTCCGGTAGTAGATGTTGCTGCTGTTGCTGCTGCTGTCATTGCTTCTCTTGCTTCTTTTTCTGTTGCTGCTGTTGCCGGGGGAGATACTCTGTCCCCACGATCACCTCGATCGACTCTTCTTCTCTTATTAGAGCCACCAGCACTATCCTGTGTATCCACCTTGACTCCGTCACCAAGACCAAATAATTCAATCTTTTTCCGCTTATCATTAACTGGCTTATACAACGTTCGTTTTGGATACCCATTGGCTTTGACAAATAAATGGTTTCCCGGTTTACACAATTCACACCAGTATAAATCAGGCACATCATCATTGGTGAATAGTCCAACACAGTATCCGTGTTGCCAAACGCCACATTTTTCACAACTAATGAATAAACCTTGATCAATTGAGATTTTGTAGTTTTTCTTCAAAAATTGGGCAAATTCAGGACTGATTGTATCGGAGTGGAGCTCATCTTGCTTACAAATACATCGAGTGATTTCCCCATCCTCATCTTCTTCGTCAGCATCATCTCCTTCCTCTTCCTCTTCCCCCTCCTCCCCCTCCTCTTCTTCTTCTTCTCCACCAGCTACGATGTGGATCATCCCTTCATCGCCATCTTCATTTGTTATCTCACGTTCTTGTTTGACTGGTTTTGAGTCGAAGCTGGTTGATCTTCTACGTGTTCTGCGTGACATGAATGGGAGCCTGTATATATATTGATGGGTGTATTCGTAATTGTAGTTGTAGTTGTAATTGTAGTTGTGGTTGTAGTTGTGGTTTGTTACTGCTTAAAGTTGTCCAATGGAAGATTTGTTTCTTTTTCCAATTTCATATGTTGATGAGCCGCACAGTTCTATGTTGAAATGTCACATATCAAACCAATGTCGCGGCATATCTATTATCGACATTCCATTAACATTTTTTGCAACTTTCATCATTTAAAGAACTACAAAGTCACCATTTCAAAGATTCAACTCCCTTTTGTTATCAACACAACATATCTCTTTATATACACCTCTATTTTCTCTACACAAAAGTTATGTTTCTGTTTTTCCCCAAACCCAACCCTCACAACGAAACATTCAAGCACAAAATAAACCACACAATTTACGCAACCAAGCCACATTGATTCACTCACTCACTCACTCACTGACTTACCCCACCCACGCCTTTTATTCATGACAAGAAAGTCATATTTGGGGTAGCTTATCAAAAAACTTCTTTTACTAGATAATTCATACGGGTTGCAGGTTTTACTAAAAAATAAGTACCAAGTTGAAAAAAAAAATAAAAAGGACGTGGCTGTGGAGTTAGTGATGGTGATAAATGGCGACGACATCAATGGTATTTGGTTTTGGTAAATGCGTATTGTCCGTTCATGGTTGTTCATTTCCCTGTTACACGCTAAACAAAGACTCTTCGTGAAAAGAAAAATAAAAAGAAAAAACAAAGGGGTGGAAGCAATATTTATCAAAGTTTCTTTAGGCTAACTTCCCAATTGGCCTCCTCCAACGCCAATTCAATAGCTAGCATCTCATCCTTTGCTGCATCTAACTTCTTTTGGTATTTATCTCGATCAACGACTGAAACCATACGTATATCATTAACATCGGCGATTTTCTCTTCCTCGCTATTTTGTAGAATGGATTGGATAGTATTTTCTTTTTGTTTAGCTTCGTCTTTGAGTAAAAGCAACTCAGCAATCGAAATTTCACATCCCTTGAATGAGACTAAGGTGAAAACATTGGTATAGTTGATATCAACGATTAATTGCTCTAGTTGACCCAATTTAGTTGTATATTTTATATAACTGTCATTGGGGTCAGTTTGGTTCATACCTTCTTGAACCACTAAACCTTTGTGAATAGTATTTGACAACTCGGAGAGTTGTTTCAATAGGTTCACTCGTAGCTTGAGTGCACTTGCAAGCTTCATTTTTGTTGTGATGGTAAGGAGAGGATAAACAAGGAACGGAAAGGGGAAGGGGTATGTATAAGTAGTAAAAATAATCTTGACTATCGTGACTCACAAATGGTTGCGAAAGGATTATCAAAATAAACATCAACAGTAAACATCAGCAGGTATGACTCACTCATGCAAATTTAGACAAGGAGAAAGAATTCTGAGACAGGGACAACGGAAGAAAGGTTTTTAAATCTAAAAATAGTTGACTTATAGCTTCAATAAATTGGTAGTATATAAATAAACTTTTCATCTCACTTAAGTAACCAGCACAGATAGTCAAATCAATGTCAATGTCAACTTCAACCAATATTGCCGATACTTCTGCTTGCCTCGGGATACTTCTCAAAACAGTCAAAGAATTACAATCAGATGACTTCCATTTCATGCATATAATTGATAAAAGTTGCAAGGTTCAACGAGGTGATTCACCAACTTTCAACATCGATAAGTTGTATGAGCAGTATTTGTCCTTAATCAAGTCCGTCACTTGTATCAAATTGCAGATTCAACAGACCAATTTAGTAACCTATGCTGCTGCCGATGCTGCTGCCGATGCCGCTGTCGATGCTGCTGCCGATGCCGCTGTCGATGCTTATGCTGGTATTACTTGTGCTACTGCTGCTGCCGACTCCGACGTGAAGACTACCCCTCCTCTTCCTGGCACCAGCCCCACAATGATGCAACTTCTCGTAAGAAAGAGCATGTTGCAAAAACACATTGATCTACTTTCGGGTATGATACTACATGGGATCCCCAACACGAGTTCCTCTTCTTCTTCTTCTTTTGGAAGCCGGGGTAAACGAATCAAAGACATATCTCAAGTGAACGTGGTTGAATACGAGTCCAAATATCGTGAATTACGAAAGGAATTGGTCCTGTTGGAAACCAAGATTCAAATACTCAATTGGAAGTAAGAAACAAATAGATATACGGTACACTGCAAGCTTCAATCAACATTCATTTACTTTTCCCCCATCTAGTCTTTGTAGAGTCAATTAGACAATATAGATATGCGTGTATATTCGGGGTCAGGGAAGAAAATGGGATAGAACTGAGACAATAAACAACTTTACTGGCAACGCAAACTCTCTCTCTTAAATAATAATTGAAATTCACTTTAGGTTTAATGTTTAAATATAAAACTATATTCTAAAAAATATCTAACAACATCCCTCAAGGCTATACAGCTTCTCCTGCTCAGCAGCTTTTCTTAATGACCAACTGTCAAAGTGTGGTCCCTGTCGTAAATACCTGGGTTTCTAATATATGGATCTAATTGGATATAGTTACTCGACAAGGCAATATTCAAGTCAAGTTTATCCTTCAAATATCTGTCTGAAACCTGAGGATTAGTCGACTCAATCCATTTCCTAGTAGTTTCAAAGAATCTCGCAGTCAACAAGTCTCTTTCTCTCTTCAATCTGGCATATTCAGCATCCTTCCTCTTGGGTGGGAACTCGTCCTTAGGTTCAGGAATTGGGTAATAGCCTCTAGTGGTGTCCTCACCGCCCAAGTAATCAGGAATCAAAGCTGGGTCAACGAATTTGCTCAATTCCTTGGCATCTTTTGTGAAATGGATCTTGGAAGCAACAACGGGGTCTAACCAGTTTTTAATAATGTTCCACACTGTGGAAAAGATCCAAGGAGCATTGTGGATCAAGATGAATCCCAAAGTTTCCGGGTAGTGCGCTTCAAACACATCAGCAAGGAACTTGATGGTGGCATAATCGGCATTCTTTAATGAAAATCCCGTCAAATCAAAGACAATAGTACAGGTGTCAACCGATTCACTAACTTCCTTCAAGAACAATCTCACCCATTCGATAGTAACAACGGCATATCTTTGGTTTTGAGGCAAGGGGGAATCTGCAGTCAAATGTTTCTTGGCTTGAAACATAAAAATAGGATTGTTATTCTTATCTCTACCTTTAATCCACGACTTCTCAGTAGTGAAGTTCTTGATGAACCCTTTGTTGGTACCATTTAAGTATGAAGGTCCATCACTTTCCATTAACCAATCATCAGTAGGCATTTCATGATATCTCCAATTCAAGGACTTCAACATCATAGCAAGGGCCTTTTCAGTATCCCATTTTCTAGCCCTAACAAACTTCAACACCAAGTTATCGACTAAATCGTTACGGAAAACTTTGACGAATGCTTGATGCATCTCTTTGTTGTTGTATTGAGCCATTGCCGGATAAAATGAACTCTCAGAATGGGCGGTAACTGGGTTGTTAACAGTAGCCTGGAAAAGATCAATTTGGTTGCTAGCACCACCAAATTGTTGTTGTTGTTGTTGTTGTTGTTGTGGGTGACTGGAACGACGCTTGTTGCTTTTGTTGTGTCCACCATGGTGACCACGGTGCTTGCTGTGTTGGTTAGGATGACCAATTCTACCACCATAGTTTCCCCCACCGTTGGCTTGCTTACCACCGTGGTTATTGAAAATGTGGGCTGGCAAGTCATCATAATCAGTTAATGTAGTTTCTGCAGTAACAAAAGTTTCCATTGAGTTGACTGAAGCAGCATCATCATCGTCATAATCGTCATAGTCGTTATAACCGCCGCCATTACCAGCAAATCCATTCAATTGTTGTTGTTGTTGTTGAGGTTGTGCTGAACTACCATCAAAATCATCGGCATATTCATAAGCAGCCTTGTGGTGATGAGCATAAATAGCATAAAACAATTGACTAGGAACATCAACAGGTTGGTATCTTTCCTGGGAAGATTGGGTTTGAATCTGATGCATCCTCTTAGAGTTAGCTGAAGGAGAGTCCTTGGCAGTACCAGCTCCTGAAGCATTTGAAACACTAGCACCTGATGATTTCTTAGATCCAAATAAACCCAACTTCTTTTTAGAAGCTGATGACTTGTTGGAGTTGATGGAACCCCTGGTATTTGTTTTAGCTAAACCAGCAGTAGCAATAGCCTGAGATTCGTCAAAATTGGTTGTTGAAGTAGAAGCAACATAGCATTGTTTAAAAGGCAAATCTTGCGCATTGATGTCAACTGGGTATCCAAAGTATTTCAACATATAAGCCCAAGTTTGCTTAAGAATGATTTCTTGTTCAGCATTAAGAGTCTGTATTCTCTGCAATCTATACTTGACGTTGTTATCGAATGGCATTGTGGTGGTGGTGTGGTTGTGTATGTGTATTTGCTCTAAAGAAGTGGGTGGTCTATGAATTGAAATCTGTAGATCCGAAATCTCCTTCTGTCGACGTAATTATTTTTTTTAAAAATTTTTGACTTTGTTTTGCGTTCCTTTTTGTAAATGTTGTAATAATAACAATATGTGTAATATATGTAATATATCAGTATAGCAAAACAAAAAGTAAAGTAGTACAACTGGTATAAATAGTGGGTGGTTGGTTGAAGGATTAGTTGGATGGCTGGTTGGTTAATTGAAAATGAAATTTGAAATTTGTTGTTGAAAATTTATATCGTTGTTTATATATGATATATATATATATATATACGTAGTAGTATTAAGTACTAAGTAGTATTGTTGTTATTGTTGTTGGTAGTGTGGAGAAGTTTAGGTTATTTTTTTTGTTGGAGAGGGGTGAGACTGTGTGTGTATGTGTGTGTGTGTGTGTATGTGTGTGTGTGTGTTATGTGGTGTGTGAAATGAGTGAAAATGAGACTGTGATAAATTTTGTATCTTTGTCCTGTATATAAACATCAATTCCTAATTGAGTAATTAATTTCATCTATCTAAAAACACCAAAACCCCCTTCTTCAATTGAGTTTAGGTTTGATTGCCATATTATCTCTTGTTTAAAGTATGTGCCGAGTATTAAAGAGGGATTAGTAAAGAGAAATAAAGGAATAAATTGAGAAATAGATAGGTAGTTAACTATAGGGTTTAACATTACTGTACAATAATTGCTATCGCAATGGCTTTGTTTAATTTGTTTCTTTATGTTTGAGATTCATCTGTGGGTAGAGCATTATGGTTGGAAAGAATGTCTACGTGTGTGTAGGTATGTATCTAGTCTCTCTGCAAATACATTTGGTGTGCAGTGTATCTGTATGTGACTGTGGGGATGCCTTTGTTTCGATGAATTTGTTGAAGCGAGGTTCTTTCAATTTGGACGACCTTTCCACGTGAAAAAATAAAAATAACTTCTATGACGTACAATGTGCCACATCACCACTAACTACCACTATCATGTACTACCAACATCTACTGACTACCACTAACTACTAGATATATACAGAAGAATGGTCTGAAATCTAAAACTAAAAGGGTTATGAAATGAAGAACTAAAATATTAAAAACGTTTTTCCATCTCAGACTAAGTCATCCAAAAACTAACTCAGCAAACCCCATCTTTCATTCTCATAGTCAAATACAGAAATTCTAACAAATAGTAGAGTGATAAGTAGTCTTGTGCAAATAAAAGAAGAAGAAGAAGAAGAAGATAGCTTTTAGACTATTTGATATAGATTGCAAAGTCATCTCGCTTATTTGTGGTTATTTATCTTATTGTCAATCTCTCTCATAACACACAAGGTAAGAAAGAATTTAAAGAACTACTGGCCAGTATCTTCTTATTGACCTCCTTGCTTATCCATTCACTTACTCTCTATCTCCTCACCTCCTTTTGCTTTGTTATCTAATCTCTGTGTGTGTGTGATAAAATATGATAAATTAGCCCTACAACCTCATAGTGGGGCAAAAAGAAGAAAGTGGGGCAAATCACCCTAGGGAGACACGCGGAAGAGCCCAAATAAACGACACAAATAATTGGCTTAAGTCCGCTTAAATTCCGATCTAAATTTGATCGTAAAAAAAAACAGAAATAACAATGAAATAAAATAAAAACCCCTACTAACACACAAAAACCAATTTCATTGGCTTCCTTGGCTTTACTCCACTTTTGAACAGCAATCACGTCAAGTTCAACGGATTTACCTCCTAATCCATCAAAGACAAACAATATGAATTTGAGTTATCCTTTGACTTCACAATAGTTGCACATCTTATCTTAATATAACAGCCTCCAAACTAAACAAAATACAACTTGCATTCTACGTTGAGTTGTATACCTATATATATATATATGTTTATTCTATTTTATCTCATTAAACAGTACAAAGTTTCTTACCTCCAGTAAAAGCTAATCGTGTCCTTTACTCTCTCTCTCGCGTGCTCTCTCTTATCTCCTTCTTGATCGTGGAAGAAGCTTTCGTCTAGGATTGGCTTGTGGTGGAGTAGGAACAACAGTCGTTGGCATTTGCATTCCGTTGGGAGCAGCAAACCCACTTCCCATTGTTGCTGCGCCACCAGTTCCACCACCTCCAAATCCAAACGAAGGTGCCTGTCCTGGTGCAGGACTACCTCCAAACATTGAAGGCTGTTGTGGTTGTTGTGGTTGTCCAAATCCAAATGAAGGCATAGTACCACCACCAAAAGGCGTAGTCTCTCTACTACTTGTATTAGCTTGTTGCTGTTGTTGCTGTTGCTGTTGCTGTTGTTGTTGTCCGAATACACTTGCTGGATCCGGTGTTCCACTCTTGGACCCAGTGAAATTAAACAGTGGTACTTTATTCATCTTTGTTGCTGATCCAAACACCAGCGATGGTGGTGGCAATCCATTGCCTTGTCCTTGTCCTTGTCCTTGTCCTGCAGCATCACCACCAAAATTAAACGTTGGCGTACTTGGTCGACTGCCAAACGCAGTTGCAGTAGTGGGGGCTGTGGTGGGAGCTGTTGCTGGAGTTGCTGTAGTTGTAGTTGCTGATGGTTGTGTTTGCGATCCAAACCCCCCAAACCCCGTTGAACTAAATGGCTTGGGTGCTGCAAGATTACCAGCACCAAATAAAGATGTCGATGTTGTTGATGCTGAGGGAGCAGAGGCCGATGGTAGAGTTACCCCAGATGCAAATTTAAATCCACTCGATGAAGAAGTAGACGGTTGCTTGTCGGTAGCAGCATTGAGGTTGGTAGTAGCACCACCACCATTTGTTCCTGATTTACCAAAGGGAAAAGTCGACGTAGACCCGCCTTCAGTTGATACCGGGGTTGGTGTGGATACTTTCTCTTCACTTCCAGTGTTGGATTTATTCTCCTCTGTGTTTTGACCAAACACAAATGCAGGTGATGGAGATTTGCCCTTGTTTTCAGTAGCAGCAGATGAGTCTGCGGTTTTACCAAAAGAGAATACCGGAGTAGTAGATTTAGACTTGTCGTCAGTCTTGCCAAATGAAAATGCTGGTGAAGCAGATTTGGCCTTGTCGCCAGCAGTGCCAAAACCAAAAGCAGGAGTCACAGGTTTCGTTTTCTCATCAGTCTTGCCAAACGTGAAGCCAGGAGCAATAGATTTACTTGCATCAGCGGTAGTAGGATTTGCAGGTTTACCAAAACCGAAAGCAGGCACAGTGGGTTTCTCTTTTGCTTCATTTTTATCGTCATTAGTAGAATCAGTTTTACCAAATCCAAAACTGGGTGTGGTAGATTTAGCTTTATCATCGGTGGTTGTTGAGGAAGGATTAAATCCGAATGAAAAAGCTGGTGGCTTGGAAACAGGAGCTGGAGCGCTCGAAGCCTTTTGTTGGTCATCGCCGCCTGCCTTACTAACCGAGCCAATGTTGAATAGCGGTGCCGATGGCTTGGATATCTGTTCTCCTTCATTTTGCTTGGCTTTTTCCTGTGTTGTTCCAGATTCATCGCTTGGTTCAGTTCTCTTGCGTTTCAAATCAGATCCATCGCTTTGTTCTTCAGCCTTATTTGATGTTGGCTTGGATTGGAACATAGATGGAAATCCACCCGCATTAGATCCATTAGCATCACCATCAATTGCAGTTTCAGATCCACTGGTTTTTGGTTGACCAAAAAGAGAGCCACTTGGCTTTGACCCAAACCCATTGAATTGAGCCAGTGGCTTATCCTTAGATGACCCAAATGGAAAAAGACTAGATTTGGAACCTCCATCCTCTTTTGATTGACTTGATGTTTCCTCTGACTTCTTACCAGTTGCGTCACCGTTGGCCGTTTTTGTGGATGGTACCCCACCAAAAGAAAACGAGGCTAGACTCTTACTCTCATTAGATTTAGAATCATCAGGTTTGGAAAATAGCCCTGATGAGCCTTTGTTTGCACCAAATGAAAACAATGGTGAGGCCAGTTCTTGTGAAGCTTTTCCTACTGGCTCTTTAGCTTGACCGGATTCACTACCACTGCTTTTTGGTGTTTCATCTTTTGATTTGTCGACATTTTCATTAGTATTTGGTTTAAGAGGGAATAATGGAGTTGAAGCTTTCTCACTCGGCTCTTTACTGCGAGCCCCAAAAGCAAACGGTTGTTGCTGTTGCTTCTTCATTTCAGTAGTTATGTCACTATTCTTGGCCTCTCCATTTTGAGTTCCGACCACTTCACGTAACTTTTTATCATCGATATTGAATTGGAACCCACTAGATGGTGCGGTAACACCACTTTTACTACCTGGTGGTATCTTCATTGTATCATCCTTCAACTTTATGATATCAGATATGGATTGAGTTTTAGCAAGATAGTCAGAGTCCAAGGATAAGGACAATTTCTGATTCAAGGCAATTCCATCTCGATTTGGTCTCTGCTTGAGTGTTTGCAGTCCCTTATCATTATTATTAGATTTGAATTTCGGTTTCCCAAGTTCACTGGCGTAGCCCTTGAGCGTAGTGCTCGTGTTTACATCAGTTGGTGCTTTAACATCATACAAAAATTCCCTCAAATAAAACCCCTTTTTTCTTCTTTTATTTCGATTGCTTTCCAAAGTTGAGGAGCTTGACCGTTTTTTGAAATTTAGCACCGATGCCAAATAATCGGCATTGCATGTTTGAGTACTGGTATCAACCATTGTTGAATCTCCATGGGAGAATGTGGTGGTTTCATTGGGGCTTCTCATATACTTCATCTTCTTCCGCATGTGTACCATCTCTTGCATCGATCGTTTTAGTCGTACGATCCTACTTCTTTCGGCAGGATCGATTCGAACAATTTCCAACTGTTCATATTCCTCCTCTACAGGTTCCTCGCCATTATAGTCTGTCTCTTGTAGCAGATCGACCCCAATTGTTTCCTTGGGGAAGGGGAGGTGTAGGGCTGGTGAATCTTCACGACTAGTCAATATACTATTATCTGCCGATGGTACAATTAGCGAATCAATAATAGACTTTCTTCTTTCGAGGTCATTATGTGTTTCCTCCTCATTGGTCCTAATTTCATTAAATATATTCAGGTATGATGCATGTCTTGGATTCACTATACCCCTAGTCAATGAACGAGGAATTGATTTATCGCTGGGATGCCCCTGTATCGAAAGTCGTTTTCTTTTCTCAGATATTGCAAAATTCGTAGGCAAAGGTTGGGATATATCAATCTTATCGGGTTGAATATCTATTTCTTCTTCCCCATTGGGATTAGGTGTTGTGGTTGCTGGTGATGTTGCCCTTTCTGATGATTGTGATTCTGACAGACGAGTGATGATTGCTTGTTTCAATCTCGAGAAATATCCTCCAAGTTTACTGCCTCGCAGTTCCAGGCTGCTGGTATTTAGTGGAGACAGTTTCTCGGACAGGTTACTCATTTAAATTATTGGTGAAAATAGAATGAGCTACAGTTGAGATGGGTTTTGTCTGGTTGTTTGTATTGCGATTGTTTTTCCAAAATTGACAAAAACTTTTTTTTTTCCAAGTGAGAGAGAGAGAGAGAGATTGTTAACAATAATGAAATCAAATGGGTGTAGTGTAGTGTTGCACAGTATACTCAAATGTTGAAACGACTACAGCGAATACAACCTTGCCCGAGGAGTGATATTGTATTGCTTACAAACACTCGATTACTTGCAACTAACTACAATTTCTCACAATTGGATAAGAAATGGAGAGATAAATGGAGACAAGACAGCGATGATGAGAAAATTAGCCAACCTTCAAGCCAAAAAGACTTTTACGCATTGGTAATGTTCCCATACCCTTCAGGGGTGTTACATTTGGGTCATTTGCGAGTCTATACCATAAGCGATGTTGTTGCCAGATATAAAAAGTTGAATGGCTACAACGTTATCCATCCTATGGGTTGGGATGCATTTGGATTACCAGCTGAAAATGCAGCCATTGAAAGAGATATAGATCCCGCCATTTGGACTGATACAAACATATCTAAAATGAAAGAGCAGATGATCAACTTCCTGGCCGACTTTGATTGGGATAGGGAAATCAATACTAGTTCACCTGAGTATTATAAGTGGACGCAGAAAATCTTTCTCATGTTGCATGAACAAGGACTTGCTTATCGTAAAAAGGCCGAAATTAATTGGGATCCTGTGGACCAAACTGTTCTTGCTAATGAACAAGTCGACGCCAAAGGAAGATCGTGGAGAAGTGGTGCAATAGTGGAAAAGAGACATTTAGAGCAATGGTTTATTGGAATTACAAACTATGCTGACAGATTAGTACAAGATTTAGATTGTCTAAAGGAGTGGCCTGACCATGTCAAAACGATGCAAAGAAACTGGATCGGTAAATCCAAAGGTTGTGCTGTAAACTTTTCTATAGATCAAGGTGATGATACAATATCAGTTTTTACTTCCCGACCCGAGACTTTATTTGCAGTTCAGTTTTTAGCACTTAGTTTGGACCACCCATTGGTTAAGAAATTATCCGAAAACGATCCATTGTTGATCAAGTTTATTGATGAATCAAGGGACGCAGGTTTCGAATCCAAGGCCGGCTATAAGCTTCCTGTAAAAGCATCAATTCCACTTAATCCCGATAACACTCAAAGCTCTGCATTTAATGTCCCCATTTACGTAGCACCGTACGTACTTAGTGAGTATGGATCAGGGGCTGTTATGGGGTGTCCAGGACACGACACCAGAGATTATGAGTTTTGGAAACTACACCAACCCAATCAACCGACTGTGCAAGTCATTGGACCAAAGAATCCGAGCGAAATGAAGATTCCATACACTTTAAAGAAAGGTGTCATGCAAGACATTAGTACGCTTGAAGGAGGGTTAAAGAATCTTGATCAGTATAAAGGTTTATCAGGAAAGGAAGCAGCATATGTTATTACTCAGCAATTAACCAAGCATAACCTTGGACACGCAAGTACACAATATAGGTTAAAGGACTGGTTGATCAGCCGGCAAAGATACTGGGGAGCACCTATACCTATTATTCACTGTTCAGATTGTGGTACAGTTCCTGTTCCTGATGACCAACTTCCCGTCCTCCTACCGAAAGTAGATAGCAAGCATTTCACAAAGGGAAACCCTTTAGGTAATATTGACGAGTTTGTCAATTGCAAATGCCCCTCGTGTGGAAAAGACGCCCAGAGAGAAACGGATACAATGGATACCTTTATGGATTCGTCTTGGTACTACTTACGGTATTTGGATTCAAAAAATGAAAACCAAATAATTAGCGCTACAGCAAGTCAAAACATGCCAGTTGATTTGTATGTTGGTGGGGTTGAACATGCTATTTTGCATTTATTATATGCGCGATTTATTGCCAAGTTTTTGAGCGATTGTGGTGTATGGGATGGTGAAATTTGTCACGATGAGCCCATTACTAAATTAGTTACCCAAGGGATGGTCCATGGTATTACGTATGCTGACCCTGATACCAGCAAGTTTCTCAAACCTGAAGAAGTCGATTTGACCAATTCGCAAGCACCAGTAATAAGGGCAACAGGTAAAACCCCCAAAGTTTCCTATGAAAAAATGTCAAAATCGAAGTATAATGGCGCTGATCCTGGGGAATGTATTGCTAAGTTTGGAGCTGATGCCACAAGAGCCCAGATGTTGTTTCTGGCGCCAGTGTCAGATACGTTGTTATGGAATGAAGAACAAATTTCTGGTGTTGATAGGTGGCTTAGGAGAGTTCTTAGTCTAAGTCAATCCATTCCAAAATTGGACAAAGTGCAGGGAGATAGAGAAAGCCTGGAACTTGCCCAAATTACCTTAAATGGCACAGTTGTGGGTGAAGAAACAATTGGTTTGAATGAATATGAGTTTCAATTTTACAATCAGGTGCAGGATCTAGTCAAGAGTATTTCCGAGTCGATTGACGTTCACTTTTCACTAAATACGGTTGTTTCCGATTTGATGAAGATGACGAATCTTATAACTGATGCAGTGAAGTCAAATAAATGCCAGTATCGTTTGATCCTCGACTCGTATGTCAAGTTACTTGTTTGTATGGCACCCGTGACACCTGCAACCTCAGAAGAATGTTGGGAGACTATACAGTTGACAAATGGGTTAACTCCACGCTCGATTTTCAATCAGCCATATCCTACAGATAGATCAATCGAATCTAATATTCAAAAGTACAACATTTTCATCAATGGTAAAGCAAGGGGAACTATCTTGGCTGAAACCAAATTGATTGATGAAAACGATAAGAGCATAGTTAAGCTACTCGGGGAGAAAGAGGGCTTATCCAATCATATACCCAATCTGGTCAAGAAAGTCATCAAGAAACCAGGGTTGATTAGTGTCATTGGATGAAAAAAGGAACTACGTTTTCTGCTTGTATATAGTTCAATGTGTTGAAGCAATGTAAATACAAATCTTATTAAGTATAAATAGACAGAGTAGACATAAGACTTTCGAGCTATCAATCTCTCCAAAATATTACAAAATTCAATGTATTAGAAAAGAGTTGAATAAATTAAAACACAAAATAAGATGGGGTATCAAATAATATTCTTTAGAATCCAAGTCAAAGAATCAAAACTTGGGGTGTCCTTAAAAGGAAACGCCTTGGAATACACCTAAACCGATGTATTTGGTGAAAGTAGCAACAACACTGAAACTTGAGCTATATTCGTAAATACCACAAGCATGAGCAGTATCGATATCAATACCCAAGATACCAATCAAGCCGAGGAAGTTGTCATGGCTTGGAAGGTGGTGGTGTTCAAGAATAATGTACTCAATAGCTTTAATGAGCAATTCTACCTTGAATACAACACCAGCAATGGTAACAGTGATGACTTTTTCAGCAATGTCAACAACTTCATGTCCAATAAGAACAAGCTTAGCCAAGATAGCAACAAAATCAACGGTAACAGTGGTGTAGGTGATGTTGATTTCAGCAGCAAGTTCGGCATCAATACCCAAGATCTTACAGACTTGGTCAAAGTTGTCTGGGTTTGGAAGTGGGTGGTTGTAGATAAGAACGTATTCAATAGCTTGAACAATTACATCAATGGAGATTTGGTGTTCTTGAATAGTAACAAATCCACCTCTCTTGCTGAAACCATGAACAAATCCAAGACCAATGTATTTGAAAAATACAAGGGTAACATCAAAGCTTGAACTCCATTCCCAAATTCCACAAGAGTGAGCAGTGGCAACATCAATTCCCAAGATGGCAATAATTTCAGCAAAGTGAATAGCATTTGGAAGTGCGTGTCCCAAAACCCAAATGCATTCAATAGCCTTGAAGATCTTTTCAATTTCAATTACGGTACCGGCAATGGTAACAGTGATGACTTTTTCAGCAATGTCAACAATATCATGTCCAAAATGGATAAGTTTAGTTAATATGGCAACACAGTCAACGGTAACGGTGGTGTAGGTGATGTTGATTTCAGCAGCAAGTTCGGCATCAATACCCAAGATTTTCAAAACTTCATCAAAGTGGTCTGGGTTTGGGAGTGGATGGTTGTAAATGACAACGTATTCAATAGCTTGAACAATTACATCAATGGAAATTTGGTGTTCTTGAATAGTAACAAATCCGCCTCTTTTTGAAGCATCAACACCAGTAACATCAACATCCTCGACGTCTCTTTTAACAGCGGAGTGCAAGAGAGAAAGGATATCACCATTGTGGTGGGGAGCTTGCAACAAACTTCTACCAAGCTCAGCAATCAACTCATCGCTCTCTTGTCCTTGAGCGAGATCCTTTTGAGCAGCCTCATTCAAGTTGAGGTTGAGTGAGTTGAACAAATTGTTGAAGTCTGAGTTCAAGTGTTTGATATCATTTTGGACAGTTTGGAGCTCTTCAGTGACTGGTACAACTGGAGCAGCTTGTATTAAAGAAGCAAAACCGGTAAAAGCAGCGAGTGTGGAAAATTTCATGTTTGAAACTAGTTGGATGTTTAACTTTTTTAGTTGCAAAAACAAAAAGAAAAAAAGGAAAGTGATCTGGTGTAGAAAAAGGGAATCTTTTGATACACTTATATATTATTCATTTTTGGTGGAAGAAATTGTGTGAATTGAAGAGATGGTATTTAATTTTCCCTTGTGTACTATAATAAAGCAGGTAGCTTGGTGAAAAGTGGTTTTGCTTCTGGAGCAAATTTCATATGTTGTTAGGGGGTATACGCGGTTTTCTAAAGAAAAAAAAAAGACCATCATTTAATCCACACAAAGTAGGGATAAACCACGCTTTGCAGAGATCTGCTGCAGCTTGAACAAGCAGGATGTAGGACACAAATATGAACCACAAACAATAGACCTTAACTCCGTAAGCAATAAATCGCCATTGGAAAGAAAATCGTGGCCAAAAAGTAAACATTGTCTTTACCAATCCCTGCATTACGGGGAATAATGCGCTTAAGTCGGTTTACGAAAATTTGTATCATCTTAGAATTTCGCAATTGTTGCTAAAAGCTTTATTTGTATAAGCTTGTAGGACAATGGAAACCACTTGTGTCTATTGTATTGTTCAACTATTGATAGCTGCCTTTGTTTGTTGACAATTACCTTTGTTGACAATTACCTTTGTTTGTTGACAAACAAACAAGAAGAGACAAATGGCGCTCCATTGTTGGACTTGAGTACAAATTATGGTAAACAAGAAGATTTGAACAATAAGAACATGTGGTTGCATGAATAGTTATGGTTAAAGCAGACTTCTTGTTTGAACTCACTGTCTGCTTCTATCATTGGCCATACCAGAGGGATTTACCATGTTTAGCCACTTTACTTGCTAAAGCCTTCTTATCACAGACAGAAACCCCAGGGGCATTCTATGTATTTGTACTTTGTACCCCTACATTTTCTGCCACTATATGTCATGATAACTTTTTCCTTGCTTGTATTAATCTAAAGACGCCTCAGTCTTTTCAATCCACCTATGACGCGCTAAAATATTCATCATGTTATGACGCCTCAATTTTTCTGTAAATGTACAGTGGTTATACCCAGTTTATATGCACAACTAACTATTTTCAATTGCTGTTTAGTTTCAGTCATATATTTGTCGTATATCGACATTATATTTGGGGAGGCGCCAATCATTGTCTTCGCTCGCACGGGCACAACACTCGAAATTTCAGGAAAATAAAAAATCACACTTAAAACCTATTGTTCAACGAGTATTGAACCCCCAAGTAAATCCTCATAACGCGTAATTAGAGCGCCTATCTGAGCTTGGAAAAATGCAGCTACGCCAAACTGGGATGATTTGAAAACATGATAATGATGATGAGCGGTTTGGAAACCTTTTTTTAGAAATTGAGCGGTATTTTGTTTACAACAACTTTAGTCTACAAACCATTTGCTTTAGCAACGACGTTGACTTAGATGCGATGAGGGAATTTTTTAGGGCTCAGGCGATAAGGCTCGTCAAAACTTAGCGCGGCCTCAAGAGGAAAGAAAAAACACTAAGCAAAAATAATAATAAAGGGTCTTTGAGGTGGTTAGTAAACGAAGGTTTAAATTTAGCCGAAAGCAAAAACTAATGGAGTAAAATAAAACACACCACAAAAACGCACAAAAGTAAACAATATTTATGAATCACATGTAAAGAAGTTCGGGTAAACAGAATATAGCAAGAACCAAGGGTACATATGGATTAAGGTTGAGATGCTTGCTTTACGTTTTGATTTGTTTGGTCAATGTTGTGAGCTGCCTCGATTTATTCTCCTCAAGACTTGTAAGTCAGAGCGGTGGTTGGTAACTTTGTGACGTGTATTTTGTTTTAGTTCTATGATGATGATAATCCCTGCATGGTTCAAAAGAATTAATTTTCAATTTTACGCGAATTGCACAAAACAAAATTGAGGAATACAATAGCAGGGTCTAAAGCTATTATCCGTCTTATATTCTCCGTTATCCACTACCCACTTCCCCCGAAAGTTAACCATTTTACACATTGGGAGAGGAAATACAAATTTTTTCTTGGCAGGTGTTGCGTCTTTGTGACAAGTTTAAATTCACCTATTTCGATAAATATTGCAAAAAATATAGATGTTTAGTTTGGAGATCCAGCTGCTAAACCTCCCACCCCCCAAGTAAAATTTATGTGCTTCAGTAGTAAAATGGAAAACAACTGTTTCCGTAAGGTAACAGTGCAGCCGTCGCAAACCGTGCATGAGACCTTTTGCAAAGAGGTGCTTTCTCCTTATTTTTCCACACTTTGATACTGATCTGCAGACTACTTGGCTAGTTTTAGAATGTTCTTGAGAGAAGTTTGCCTTTGAAATTCGAATGTCATGCTTTGTAATTTCTAACAAAACAATATACAAAGAATCCTGGTAAAAAAAAATCAACAAACTGTAAACACACCAAGCTATAGCAAGTTTTGTTACCTGGGACTGCAAGAACTTTTGATCCTATTGTTGGCACCCCTCGTAATAACCTTAGCACAATCTTGGCTATGCATCAATATACTAAAACTTCTGACGGGCCATATCCCTATGCAAAGGAACGTAATTTATGCTTATTGTGATGTACACCTGGAAACGTGCTATAAAATATGTAAAGAACTAATACCTCAAGTGCGTCTATATATGCAATCGCCTCACAGTCTCAGTGAAATTCAATGTCGCAGAAAAACACACGACAATGAGAAAACCTTTATTTTCAACTGCACTATTTAGGATCTCCTCTCGCCCCAATTTCAAATCAAATATCCTTCATGGCTCAGCCCTCTACCTCACAAATTGTCTTCCTCATTAATCAATTGTAGATATTCATAATAAAATGCAATTATCTGTAAATGTGAATCAAAACGAATAAACTCATCAACTCCATGTGCATGCGATTCCACAGTTGTGAACAACCCAGGTCTATATCTAAAAATGTTCTTGGTCAAGTTCCAATAATATCTAGTATCTGTATTACCGGTAGCTATCCCAGGTGCAACAATGACTTGTTTCCCACCACCAACAACATCAACATTATCATCATCTGAAGCAGGTTTTGAATAACACAGTTTGCTGTTGCCACTGGGTACTAATTGTTCATAAATGTGTCTTATATTGCCGGCAAAAAGTTCCCATACTTTACCTACGGTAGGCGTACTTGGTGCCGGTTCCAACTGAGAAGCTTTGTGGATCGTGATCTTGCCATTCTTGGTCTCATTACGAAGGATATCACCCTCAGAAATCAATCCTAAATCGAACTTTTTAGCTAAACGCTTAGCATGGTACAAATCATGGTTATAAACTTCATCGACTGTTGATTCAACGGCAACACGATGGTTGATTACGGCTTCGACGTATTCGGGCAACGCGTTCGACTTGACTCCTCCATTAATTATATCAACTGCTTGAGTTGAAGTGATCAAGTAACGACTGAGCAACGATTTATTGTAAAGCCAATGAGTAGCTTGTTTATTGGCCCTGTGTGACTTATCGGCATTGAGTAAACTTTTCTTGATCCTGTGTGATAGTGTGGGTGAGTATTTGGCGATACATTGATATTCGTGAAATGTTGGGTTACCAGGTGAGAAAATTGGCTGGAAGTGATCCTTTTCCAAACTTTCAATAAGGATAGCCATTAATCCAATTGATGTGTGTTGAGACAATGGGGGAACTGATGAATGGCCACCAGGAGTGTTTATCCCCACAACCACGTCGGTTGATCCCTTTTCACTTGTACCGGGTAATGCCAAAATCACTCCTTCTTCATAGGCAACACTTTGACCACCTTCATCAATAACAGCATAAAATGAATCATTGCCATATCGTTGAGTTAGAAATTGGCCAATACGTTGAGCTCCACGTTCTCCACCCACTTCTTCATCAAATCCGAATCCAAGAATAATAGTTCGTTTCGGTTTGAACCCCGATTTGTATAGTTCTTCAAGTGACTCTAGCAAGCCAATCAACAAGTTCTTGCAATCAGATGAACCCCGGCCCCATAGCTTGTCCCCGTCATAAACTCCATCGTATGGGGGATAAGTCCATTGGTCCAATGTTGATTTCTGTATAGGCACCACATCTTGGTGAGCAGTAAGCAAAATTGGTTTCAAGTCCGACTCTGCTTCCTTTCCTTTCCAAGTGACGACAATTGCATGTGAGTGAACTAGTTCAACTTGTAAATGAGTGAAAATAATGGGGAACGTCTTGTTTAAATAGTCATAGAATGGTGTAAACTTATCATTCCAATACTGTGGGTCCTTCTCCACTGAAGGGTCTTCATCGTAAACGTCAGTTGGAATTTGAACTGCTTGCGATAGCTTTTGGGCCGAATGATTGCGGAACGTCTCATTGAATAAAATGTTCAACACAGTCGAATTGTCTTTGATGTATGATTGAGGGTACTTGTAATCATATTGGCGACATATTTCCTGACCCCGTGGTTTACTAAGGAAGCCCCCCAAAGGAAGGTTAGATTGAGTGTTTTCCAGTGGTGTGAAGAAATGCGATAAGGTCAAAGCAACACTCAAGAATATGAGTAGAGCGAGTAAAGTAAGGCGAACAAAGGTGTTTCTTGTAAACCATTGGTCTTCTGGTTGGCGTGATTTCGACTTTTCTAAATCCATGTCTCAACAAATGTTGGTGTTTAATTACCCTTAGACAAAAGATGAGGGAATCCAAATTCAAATAATGTGTGGCTTCAGAATAATGGATGTGTGGGTGTGTCTTGGAATGGCTTATTACGACAATGATAGTTCACGACTTTTGAACAATATTATTATTATTGATTAAAAATCACGTGCGCGAGAACCCCAGTACAGTAGATGCACAATGGCAAGAATACAACTATTTATTCTGATTATATTGTTGTAGTTACAATGTAAAAGCTGTAATAAATGCATGGAAACCCATTAAACCCATTTTGGGGGGTATACAGTTGTATTGTATAGCTTGAATCGATATATCTTAGATAGTTGTGAATAAAATTATGTTATAGTGTTTGAACTGTATAACACATACTTTAAGCAATAAGTAATTATGCATAATAATATTGTATAATATATACGACATCTCTCCACCACAAAAATAAAAAAGAGAAAGAGAGAGTGCGTGTGTGTGTCGGTGTGTGTTAGTGTGTTAGTGTGTTAGTGTGTTAGTGTGTTAGTGTGTTAGTGTGTTAGTGTGTTAGTGTGTTAGTTGGTGTATTGTGTTAATTAATGTTATGTAATATAGCAATCAATTATTAATAATATAGGGAGGATTTAGTATGACATTGTCTTGACATATCATATGATCTCAAATCAAATATATTTTTCACAACACCCACCCGACATACACTAACATACACTCAGACAACCCAATATTGCCATAGAACTATTGGTTGAAGATCTTACATAACCACTTTATGTAAACAACAACATTGTAGTTTTGTAGTTTTTAGTTAATGCTTTGAAAAAAAAAAAGGAAAGAAAGATAAGCCCCACACATGGCTAAAAGCAGTTGCTATTTTCCATTTCTCTCTGTTGCTCTCTCTCTCTCTCTCTCTCTCTCTCTTTTAAAGCCAAAAGGCAAAGTACCTCCTCTTGGTGTGTTTACATGTCTCTAATTATACAAAGGTAGATTACTTTTCAACATTGAATCTGACTCTACAGAAGAAAGAAGGAGTATCTTTTTGTTCAAATACGTCATCAAAAAAGAAAACAATTTAATTTATAAGAACAAAATAAAAAATAATAATTTTAAGCTTTTTAAGGAACACAAGACAAACAACAAACAACAAACAACAAAACAACAAAACAACTAACCAACAACAAGCAAATCAGCAGAAGCAGCAAAAATTAGATACACATAGAGAGAGAATAGAGCGGACGGAGGTATATATCCAATCAATTCAGAGATAGAATAGACAAATACACATACACATACACATACACATACACATATCAAATCAAATCAAATTAAAACAACAGGCCTTAGGAACGTATACCAGTTTGATCGGAGAGTCACTTGTTTTATACATACACACACACGCACAGAGAAGTATTTTTATCACAACCCACGGGCTATTCCACATTATACAATCCCAATAGGCATCTTTTAACCACCAGATGCACTGATAAATTCTTATAGTCATCGTTTAAACTACTATATTACACCTAGCAACCCAAAAAGATCAATCAAAGCAATCATCATGTTGATGGACTTACCATTGGAGATCCAGATGAAGTTACTATATATGGTACCTCATTCCAATTTGAAATACGTCAATTCCCATTACTACACCTTGTACAATGATTTGTTTTATCACAAGATTGTTGCTGTATTTGGTGAAGATACAATAAATGTTATCATCAAGATTTTACCTTGGCTTAAACCATATATCAAGTCCCTTGATTCGTTTCGTTATGTCAATAGAATGATTATTGCCAAACGGTTGAAATTGGTTGATAATTTAAACAAAGAGGATGATGATCATCATGATCATCATCATGCCAAAGTCACTAATGAAGGTACAAGCAGTTTTAGAGCTTTAACAACGCATCCAGATCATGTGGAGTCAATTAAACAAGACTTTGGTAATGAGATAGTGATCAAGGAAGAGGAAGACAGACAAGAGGAAGTAACACCACTGCAGCTGCTGCTTGCTTCTCTGTATACCACCAATAACCCTTTAAATGTACAGTATGTTAAAGATTCATGGAAATATATTTATTCGATATTGAAGAATAAGCGACTTTATGCTGAATATTCCGATTATCAAATTGATGAACCAAGAAATTATGTTTATAACCATTTTGTTGAAATTAATCGAACTTATTTATTAAGTTATTCCAAGGATGTATGGTTAGCTCCCGGCCAATATAATTTAAATATTGGATTAGCAGTGAAACATGGGCATGGTTTGGGTACTACCAAATTTGAGGTAAAGTATCGTATTGATGATGATGATGATGATGATGAAGGTGAAGAGGAGATGGAAGCTGAGGTGGCTGAAGTCGAAATGGAAGAGGCAGAAGCAGAAGCAGAAGCAGAAGCAGAAGAAGCAGAAGAAGCAGAGACGGTAACGGAGACAGTTACGAATAGAAATGGGAATGCAAATGGTGATGCCACTAGAAACAACATTGTCAATGCCCATGGACTTTTCCGTCCCAATGGTAGTATTATTGGGGGCGGTGTTGACAGAAGTGTTAATGGATCGATGAATGAAACTGTAGATGCTACCACCCAGTTGCCCAATAACCACACTAATAACGCGCAAGCTGCAAACAATAACAATAACAACAACAACACGATAGTTAAGCTGTTTTATCCACCAACAAATATCAATGAAATATTACCCAAGAACCAATTTTGTTTACTTCGAGTTGCCCAATTCACTATTCCACCAAAGGGGAGCCAACAACAACATCATCAACCAAAACGCAACAAGTTGCGTAAAGTTAGTATAAAGATGGAAGAAATTGGATTATATTTGAAGAGTGGGTTTAGAATATACTTTATTGATATTAGTCAGCCATCAATGTTGTATGATGAATATGATTTGTTGTATTATTCAATTAATGAGACTGACTATAAGTATTTTATTAATATTTTATTGAAGAATCTTTACAAGGCATTGGATTATGTTCAGAATGGGGGGATGGGTGGAGATGGATGTGATGCTAGCACTGTCAAGTTTGGAATAAATGGCTTATATGGAGAAAGAGCCGGTGGTGGTGGTGCAGCTAAGTATGGAAGTGGTGACCCTTATGATTTGTGGGATAAATTTGATAAATCATTTTTAAAAGAGTACAATGAAGAGATTGTTAATGATTCAAATTCAGCATCAATAATAAAAGGAAAAGGGACAAGTGAAGGGGAGGGAGAAGGGGGAAGTGGTGTTAGTAGTAATGGTAATGGTGGCTATTCCCTTCATAAACGAGTTTCATCGGCCCATTTATTTCGTAATTCAATTTCATCAGTGTCAGCTGCGTCATCATATGCATCACTAAATTCACTACATGGTGGTGGTTATGGTATTCCCTTCAAGTATGATTTGAAAAAGTTGACCAATTATGCCAATTTCTACTTTACCAATATTGTAAATACCAAAAGATATTACAAGTTTAGTACCATTTATCAACAACGACAATTTATTAATCGATTTGGGGATTATGATTTGGATTGGAAAGAACAACTTTATGTCAAGGAGAAACTAAAGGGACAGCATGAGAAGCAACAACAGCATGGGAAGCATGGGAAGCATGGGAAGCAAGGCGAACAAAAGGTGGTGAGTAGTAATAGTGTCAAAGTGGTTGGACATTATGAGAATGATAAGCAAGGTGGTATTAATGGTAATGATAATGATAAGAGTAATGGCAATAGTGGAGATACAACAACTAGACTAGAATTTAGATCTAGATGTACGTATGATAAGTTGGGATTGAAGTGGAAAATACCCATTGTTGGAGAATTATAAATCAATAATAAGCTATATGGGTGGGGGTACTTAGCTAGTTAGCTAGTTAATTGGTTATTTAGTTTGGATAGCTGTGAAAAATGCATTGATTGTGTTTTGTATAAAGATTTCAAGTGATTTTACTTTTTTTTTTTTTTTCACTGTAAAAAATAGTGGTTGTTGTAGTTGTTGCTGTTGTTGGTGTTGTTGGTGTACAAAGTCTCAATTGGGAAGTAAAGAATAGAAGTGGAAAAATATAATGAGGATGAAAAAATAATGTATGTATAGTAGTACAAATTCTGTTATTATAGTAAAATGTCGGGGAATACCGATCGAAGGTTTAATTAATAGGTGTGTGTCTCTATATAAAATAAAAAATTAGCTTTCCTATTTGGGATTTCTGTGTAATTAAAGAACAAATATTAAACAATAATAATGTTATTATTACTATTATTACTATTATTATTGCTGTTTTGTGTACTATTTACCCCATTTTCTTCTCAAAATTAAAAAAAAAAAGAGAGGAGAATTCGTGATTTTGTGTAATATATATATATATATATAATTGTGAATGACCTACTGTATTTTAGTATTAAAAGGGTGGGGAGATAGAATTTTGTTGGGTCATGATACATTAGATTTGTATAGTTTAAGCGAAGGAAATATAGACAGAGAAGAAGAAAAAGAAGATAGTTTGACATCAAAGAGACAGATGAAGAAAGAGAGAGAAGAAAGAGAGAGGAGAAAGTATGTATGTTTCCAGAATAGAAGTATTATATACTGTGATACAAAGAATACGTAGTGTATAAGATACCTATATCCAGTATAGACCCGCCTCACCAACCAATTCAATCTTGATATGTTAGTAGTAGTAGTAGTAATATTCACAAAATGTGTGTGGCTCTAACAACAATAGCTACAGTATACAATATACAATATACAATATACAATATACAATGATAAGGCTATATATAGAAGATAAGGCTACTTGATGATGTTACATTGTTACATTGTTACATTAGGAAGTATATCAGATTCGTATATTGTGTTACAGGGGGGGGGGGTGTATTCGTTTTCATCTTTTAAAAGAGAAGAATAAGGAGACTAAAACGGTCGTGTATATTTGTAAATGAATGAAAAGAATCATACAACATTCTTTCTTTCTGTACACAAACGCTATAGAAAGAAAAGTTTATTTTATTTTAATTAACTGCTGTTAATTTTTTTTATTTCAGCAAAACACAATATAATAAAATATACTTACACCCCCTCCTAGATCTAGTATTAATTACTGGTATTCTTTTACTTTACGCCCCCAGTTGTTGCCTTAATATTTTTTGTTGGTGTGATATCAATTGACTCAACGCCTTGTCTTTGATCACAAGTTTATACTATACATACACGGAGAGAGGGCAATTTCCGCCGGTGTTAACAAGTGCCTGCAGTGTCTGTAGTGTCTGTTGTAGGTGCTAATCCAACAAGAGTCTGTAGTTCTATTTTTGCGTCGTTAGGAATTGGTCTTTTTTTTTTTCTTCTTTTTTTTTGACAACCAAATGCCAAAAGAAGAACTAAATAGAAGAACAAAATAAAAAAAAAAAAATGTGGAACCGTTGAACAAAAGGCATGACCACAATTGGAATAGAACACAAAACTTACATACACAAATTAATGTTTCACCATATAGGTATATATACATTCATATTACACCCCCTTTGTTTGTGTTCCTTTTAAAATCTTCCTTTTTCTATATTCTGCTAATCTATTTTTATGCAGACACTTCCGACACTAGTACTTCTAGTCATTGGGTTATGAGTGAAGTAAGTGCAAAATGAGAAAACCTCACGTCATTTTTTTCATTGTACAATCTCAAATGGTGGTGGTAGCGGTAGTAGTACTCCCAATACAACTACCAATACAATAGCTACTACTACTACCACCACCACCACCACCAACACCACCTCAGATATATATGTATAAGAGTTTATAGGTTAATGTTGCTTCTTTTTCGACTACAAGTAGACTAAAACCAAAATGTAGTACGTAGTGTATGTAGTTAATGTATCTGTTTGCCCTCTTGTTATCTCAATCAGAATTTCTGTACTGCATATAATTTGACAAATCGATTGGTAGCTCTTTGTTAATAAATATCAAACGTTAATTAATAAATTCAACAATCAAACTATTAACCATAAACTTATAAACCAAAGAAGGGAGATTCAAGAACATTCCATATATAAGTATATAGGTCTATAAGCATATATATATATATATATATATATATATATATATATATGAACAACAATTCCTTCCTTTATTTAAAGTAAGGCGAAGAAAGTAACTTCAACAGTCTGTAAACTATTCAATTCAACCATTGCTAATTTATGACACACCACTACATATTCCCATTATCTATCTATTCATCTATCTACTTAAATTTTTATTTTTAAGATTGCCCTTTCTGGTGTCATTTTTGTCTTACAAACAACAACAACAACAACAACAACAAGAGAGAGAAAGAGAGAGAAGGGAAAAAAAAAGTGCTGACCTTATTGTATTACAATAAATATAAATATAAATATAAATTTTAAAATACAAACAATTGGGAGACAAAAACAAAAATCACCATATAAAAAAATATATATATATATATATACATATATATATAATCATCATCATCAACAACAACAACAACATTCATATTACACCCACACCTAGTCAACCCCAATTCAATTCATTCTTTTTGTCTTTTATACTAACAATACATGATACAACCACATCACATATACTATAACTACACTTAATATACCAGCAGGAAAGTTTACTCTTAATTTTTTTTTTATATTCATTTATTTATTATTATACTTTATATATAACTCACTCACACACACACACACATACCTAAACATCTACACACCTTATAAATGTCTAAATTGAATGTCAATTTCAACATATTTAGTAACCTGTCATCATCAATTGATCAAGAAAATGATGTAACAACAAAAGCAACAACTGGGGCAAAAAACAAGGGTCAAACACAGCCCCTGGAACACGAAACAGGACAAGTTGTTAGTGAGAAGCAAACAAGCCCTGTTACTGCTGCTACCACTACACAGCCGTCAAACACTGCCACTACTGCCTCAGACAATACCCCTCCAAAGCTGACTTCCCCACAACATCGTACTATATACCACTTTCACCTACCAAGACACAAGTCAACTTCTTCTTCTTCTTCTTCCCCACCATTGAGTAGTGAATCAAATGAAGCAAATGTGTCAAACACTACCCAATCTACCAGCTCTAGGTCTCCAACTTTGCAATCACCAAAACTGCAATCGCCAAAACCACAACAACAACAACAACAACACCAACAGTCTTCTAAGCTTTCCCCTGACAAGGATGAAAGATTCCAAAAACTTGTGAAGAAGACAATAAACAAGTTGAAATTGTCCCCAGCTGTAGCGCCAGTTGTTGCTCACACAAGCCCCGACTCCCTTGAAAGACAAAAACTGCACTCACAACTGCACTCACAGCAAACCAAAAATGTGCAAGGAGGCCCACAGCAAAGTCAATCGCCTTCTCAGAACCAACATCTTGCTACTCCATTAACTCGTTCACGTTACAATTCGGTTGCTTCCTGTAACTCATCCTCAAGTGACATTTTTGAACGATCAGTGACCAATGGTAACCCACTTTCCAATTTAACCAATCCTGAAACACCTTTCCATTATAATATAGAGAACTACACCAACCCCATTTTAGACACAACTGCTGAGATTTTGGTTAACCCAAACATCCAATTAGATCAAGTGAAATTAAACTGTTATTGTGATGATGAATTCACTGCGTTACCATCGTGTGACTCTTTTAAGGGGAAAGAATCTTATTTCACTAATAGCAACAACAACAATAATGATAATAATAATAATACTGAAAACACTGATAATAATGATAATTCTAATACTACTACTGCTGCTGCTGCTGCTGCTGCTGCTGTTGCTAATAGTGTTGGTCCAAAATCTGGTGGAAGTGCTGATGGATGTAACAGTGTCGACTGTAAATCTAGACCTAATAACCAATCGACTCTGAGTTTATCTTTAACTCCAGCCCCACCTTTAGTTGCTATTTCACCAACAATGAGACCAAGAGCAAGAAGCATTATTTCACAACTGATTATTTCAACTTTGGATAATTCTAAACACAACAATAACAACAACAGTAACAGTAATTCTTTCACTACTAGTGGTAATTCTCACCTTAGTAAAGTAAAGTCTTCAACTTCAACTAGTGGACTTTCCTTTTTATCAAGACCTCAGTTTGGCAATGCAAGGTCTTCGAGTTTTGCTGGCAATACTAGTCTTTTACGCAACAAGAACAGCAATTACGAAAGCTCGATTACGGGAGGAGGAAGAGCTGCTGTGATTTCTAGAAAATCGTCACCTAAATTGGTGAGTTTAGTGACAAAATCGCAATCTGGTGCTAACTTGGCAACATCACCAATATCCAACAGTTCATCAGGTGCAACAACAGATGCAAAATATGTTCATTCACCAACATCCATCACCAACCACTCGCTGAATCCTCCTGTTATTGACTTTTATTCGTTTGCTGATATGTGTACACACGAAGATGAGGAACTTTCACAAGGAGTAGCAGAACAGGACGAAGGAGAGGAGAGAGGGGGTGATGATTCCAACCCTAATGGGGAAGCAGATGATGATGATGATGATGAGATTGATCCATTGGACGAAACCAATATTCAAGAATTTGGTTTCAATAGTATCAGTAGTAGCGGTAGCGGTATGATTAGTAACCGTAATGGATCAATATCTACTGGTGGTACAAACTCTACAATGTTTACCAGAGAAATGCCTGTTAGAAGAGGAAGTTATGCTACAATTAATGCTAAAGATTACATAGGCGTTTTATAGGAAAATGTCATTGGCTTTGTTTTAGTTTTTGCATTAATTGAATTTGATTTTGATTGTTGTTGTTCTTGTTGTTGTTATTAGCCTTGTTTATTGTCTGTCGTATTTTAAAAATATACGACACAGATTGACGCATGCGACAATAAAAAGAAAAATTTTTTAACTCATTCTCTCTCTCTCTCTCTTAGTTTCAAACTGTTGGCAAAAAAAAAAGATGAAAAAAAAAATCACCAACTTTTTCTCAACACCCACCAAAGAGATACGAAAAAGAAGTCATTAGTAATTACGTTCTGTGGACATCAATCAAACACTCACCAATCTTTTACCCCACCAAATCAATCTGATTCATCACAACCAGAAAAAAACAAACTCCATCATTGTTAAATCTAACCAAATACACACACACATACACACAGGTATCACTTTTGATTCCCCGCCCCCACACACACATCACACTCCTTTTTTTTCAAATTTCAACTAATCACTGTAATCAGACTTTCACAGCATAGTTGAGATAATCTAAAGCAAAAAAATATACCACTCCGACTCCTAAAAGAACATAGTTATGACTGAATCATTATTCGATACCAATTTCACCTCCGAAAACGAACCAAAATTGGCAGCTTCTGCCACTGGTAACCAAGCCGCCTCTGAAACCCAATCACAGGGTGGAAGTCAAGGTGTTGCATCTAATAACGCTGCTGGAACAATTGCAAGCAATACTGACAACACTAGCACTAATTCAAACTCTGCTGCTACCAGTACCACCAATGGTGCCAATGCAACAACTACACACTCCTCCGCACCTGCCACCAACGATGCATCGCACAGCCAAGAGCACCATGATGACCATGAAGGATACGATAACTCTACCTCGTTACCATCGTTGAATGACAACTCCAATGCTGACGCATTGATAAATTATCGTGTGTTGGTATCAGCTAAAGAGGCTGGCTGTTTAATTGGCCAGAATGGGAAAGTCATTGATTCAATTAGAGAGGAAACAAACACCAAAGCCGGAATTTCCCGCTTGGTTGCAGGTACGCATGAACGTATTTTGACCGTTTCTGGTAAATTGGATGATTGTGCCAAGGCCTTGAGTTATTTTGCCCAAGCTTTACTTGGATCATCTATTGAAACATACAATTACTTCCCATTGAAGCAATTGAGCTCTACCCCATGTGTTGAACATGAAACAACCATTTTAAGATTATTAATTCCCAACAGCCAAATGGGCACTTTGATTGGTGCCAAGGGGGCCAGAATTCAACAAATCCAACAAAATTTTGCTATTTCCATGATTGCTTCTAAATCCTTTTTACCGGGCTCAAATGAACGTTTGGTTGAATTGCAAGGAACGGTTGACGACTTGTACGATGCGTTGCGCATCATTTCGCGTTGTTTAATTGAAGATTTCTCTTCTAGTGTGGGAACCACCACTTACTACGTCCCTAAAAGCCATCAATTGACGAGAAAATCAACAGCAACGATTAGTTTTCCAAACGACATGGTGGGTGCATTGATTGGTAAAAATGGATCGAGAATCCAGGGGGTGAGAAAAGTCAGTGGAGCCATGATTGGAATTGGTGAAGCGGTTGAAGGTTCAGATGAGCGTGTTTTCACTATAACTGGGACACAACAAGCGGTGGAAAAGGCTAAGCTGTTGTTGTATCATAATTTGGAAAGGGAAGAGCAGAGAAGAGCCGAAGCTACTGAATAGAGAGGATGAAAAAGAGCCGAAGCTACTGTTGTCATCTGATGACATCTGCTATCTATCTATATCGTTGTTTTATATATATATAAATCAAAATGTATATATGTGTATTATTTTCTATTTACTGATTATATTGGAAACTGCGGTTTTGATAAGTTTTTACAAGAAGCTCTTGCTTAGTAAGGCTGCCAATTGTTCTAAATACTCGCGATCAGTCTCATCAAACCCAGCAAGATCCAAACAATCCAAATCAATAACTCCCACCACTGTATCGCCATCGTCAGTACCCTTGTTGTTGCCATTATCTGTTTGCCGTTGATGGTGAAGTATAATTGGCACGACAATTTCCGATTTGGTCTCGCCGTCACACGCAATATGGCCGGGGAATTTATTTATATCAGATACGACTTGACTCTGGGCAGTGGCAGCTGCGGTTCCACACACACCTTGGCCCCATTTGATCGATTGGCAGGCGACTTTGCCTTGGAATGGACCTAGGAGTAGTTCGGGTGTGGTAGAAGAGTTAGTGCTATTGTTGCTGTTGCTGTTGCTGTTGGTCTTGTGCTGACTGGTGTGGTTGATTTGGTGGTAGTTTTCACTAGTGTAAAACCCAGTCCAGTTGACATTGATGCCTAGTGAATGGTATGCGTGCCATAAAAGAGATGCACAATTGGATAAATTGGAAATCAAGTACGGCGTTTCGAGGGCAGTATAGGCATCGAGAAGTTGTTGAAGAGTTTCTCGCTTGGTTTCAGAAGTGGCACTGGTGCTTGTGGAGCTCGAGAAGTTGGTGTAGTCGGCGTGATGAACCATTGCGACGATGTATGGAGGAGAGCTATGGTTTGGTTAAGTTGTAGTTATTTTCTGCAAGATCTTTACAAAAGCTTTGTTTTTGAAAATGGGTTTTTTCAAAATTCTTTTTCTTTTTCGTTTTAACCTTTGTTGCATACACGTACAAAAAGGTATCCACAGTTTTTCTTACGTGTTTGGTAAAGACTTACCAAAACCACTTTACTATTCAATTCATCATTTCGCTAGATTTTATCTCTTGTTTAACTAGGCGTACATTTTTGACAACGGGGATACGCAGCATTGTATTGCATGTTTCAAACAGGCTGCTGGGTGAATTGTGAAAATGTAAAGGCTTTAGTGTCCCTTATCAAAGAACTATTGCAACCGTTTTGCATTTTGCATTTTGCAATTTTCAGATGTGTGCTTTGTGAAAATTGCAAACACTAAACCCCCTGGGTTTCTGATGCATCGCATTCACTTTCCTCTGTCGGGGCAAGGTGCCAAAGTCTAGTCCAAACAAATGTGCCCAATTGTCGACAGGATCACATTATTAGTCTTTCGTTATCAGCACCCCCGCCCCCTCTCCCAGTTAAGCTATAAATGGTCCTTTTAACAAACAGTATCTGCTTTCAATATCTTTGGAAACTCACTTTGATTGTAGTCATTATTCCCCCTTGAGCAGTATCATATACCCAATTTCAGCATTAATGACTCCCAATTTGTCTACACATCATGACTCACACTTCCAATGGCAAATGATGAAATTCAATTGCTGTTTCAAGGCAACATAGTATTATATTCTGGAATTTAGCACCTTTCTAATACTACTGTTGGTCAACTAAACCAGCCCCATTTTGTATTGCAGCTGCAAATCAATCATACTCGATTTACGTCAATATATCATTAGCTCTGATTTTTATATTATCTGAGTATTGCAATCCCTAAGGCAACTACGGAAGAACTACTCCTGACTAGTTGTAAAAATGATGTTATCCTTCAATACTATTTAATGTCGTGCTATCTATTAAAACCCTTTTGTTAAGAGATTAAAAAAAAAACTTATCAAAGCGCAAACATCAACCGCCAACTGAAAAGAACCAGATCATATAATTTAATCCAAGCTAATACTCCACGATATATTGCATACACTGCAACCACGCATAGTATCTTTTGCACAGACGTCCTCTTTAAATTAAGCAAGTTTGTATTCAAACGTCTCTGCTCATCCAGAAATGGAGGGATTTGAGGAGTTTCTTGCACTACGAGGTGTACAGCGAACATTGATCAACCACAATAGTATCACTCTTGATAATGCTCGTCACGATACTAGACTTGGATTGCATGACCGACAAACGCGTCGCGACCCAGCTTCTGATTTGATTGAATTACTTGTAGCTAATTCGATTGAGCAAGGACAAGATACTTTTGATCCATCAGAGGATGAAGACTTGGGGTCTAACCTGAGTCGAGGAGAAGATGACGTAGTTGAAAACATTTTGAATGATAACGAGGTCCAAGCAGATGATAATTATGGCTTAGCCTATGAAACTGGGTTTGAAAGAGATGCGATACGCGACGGGGAGGAGGGAGAGGAGGACGATAGGATGGAGCTTGACCCTGAAGATGGAGCTGACCACACACCAACTTATCCCGCACCCATTGCTAGACCTTCTGTATTTGATGGACAAACTGAATTATTCAGAGTAGCTGATTTTTCTAACCGGCTTGAATCAGTCGATGAATCGGATGAAGAATCCAGCGAAGACACACGAGGCATACCTCTTGAAGATGACCTGGATGATGCTGATGTATTTTACAACACAAGGAGAGAGAGTTTTAGTACTAACATGGATAGTACCAATGTTGCAGCAGCTTCCGATGCCATTCAGTCGCCAATGTCGCAGCTTGGTAATTTGGACACTAGTTTCAAGTATACGGCAAAACCACGATCAAACGTCAAGTTCAAGTATCCTCGTATACATGATAAGACCAATTTCATTTTTACGCCTCCAGTGAAGCACCTCAACAGAGGTAGCTTCGAGGCCAAGCTTAAACATTCTGGAAAGCAATTGCTATTGAAGCAAGCTCCGGCAGAAAAGTTTTACAATGGATTAAAATTAGATGCAGTTGGAACAAACAAATTGAAACCAATACGAAGTACTATGAAGTACAAAAATAATTTAACTTGCATTTTTTCCAGCGACAATGATTACCTCGTTGTTGCTATCAGTTCCGATCTCTTGATTTACGACTTTGATCCAATCACAAATCTACCGAACGAAAAACCGCGATTGATTTTTGACACTAAGCCTTCATTTACATTAAATTCGGACCGAGTCATTTCTACGTGGCCATATTTCCCCTATGGTATAAACTATGTCAAGAGTTGCCAGTTTCTTGGAAAGACGACTGTTTGCGCTTGCACTGATGATGGACGTTTGCTAGTATGGTTTGTTGATCGATTTGTTGATCAAATGAAACAATTTGAACCTTCAAGCGAACGAGACTATTTCAAGAATTTAACCATTTCTCCTGATTTCAAAGTGAAATTGAGTGCTTCATTATGGGGTCTTGATGTCAAGGATAATATAATTGTCGCGTCAGATAACTCGCAGAGTGTTGTTTTGTTATACTACCATGAACAAGATAGAAGGTTTTATCACACCAAGTCGCATCAAATACTACATAATATACCTAGTGTGTCAATAATTAAACACACAGGCGGGAAAGTCCATGTTGCATGTGCTTCTATTTCAGGGGAATTGGTAATTTTTGAATTTCAGTTCAAAATCAATGCAGGACCATTGAACAAATATGATTTGGACTTTTTCGAGCACAGGACGATGTACTACACCGATCCAATTATCGAGTCGATGGAATACGGCAATGGAGATGACGATATCTACCGTCGTCGGCATCCTGATCTACACAATGACGTAGATTTGGTTAGCAGTGCCAGAAATGTCTTCAAGAGACTCTGTTTCAACACTCCGGTGATTATATCGCGATGTGTTGTTAACGAAGATTGTTGGACTGTGCATTCGTTTAATCGTAATTGGTTTCTTCCCGTTGGTTCATTGCAATCGGTTTTCGGTGATTACGAAATTGATGATGCAAAAGAAGACGCAAAGATTATAGCAGAGAGTGCAGTATTGAGAGGGAAGCAACGTCTCAATCACCGAGAAAGAGGCGCTAATGATGATTACGCTGATGTAACTGATGTAACTGATAATCAAACAAGCCTAGGAGCTGCTGCCAGTTTTCAATTTTACAAGCCTGACACAATAGATTTTAATGGTGTTGTTGATCCCGTTATTCGCATACCTCCTACTGCCAAAATGACAAATATCAATGATGAATATAGGCGAATTCATAAAGAAATTGTCCTTTATGAAAAGGGGCATGATTCAACCAAAAATGACTTTTTAGTCGTCACCACCTCAAAAAAAGTGGCCTTATTCAAATATCCCACCTTGTATTGTCCGTGTGCCACCAATCCTTTATTTAATTTGGACTTGTATAAAAAGGAAGATAGCTGTCATTCAAATAGACTTTCGATATCAGCGGTGATTCCGGATTTATCGTGCTTAATTGCCGTGTCTCAACAGGGCATAGTGACAATTATGAGATTATGCAGTTATAGAGGAGTGTATGGGATGAGGCAAGAGCATGTCTTTCCCCATGCCTATAGAATGGCCGGTTCTGAAGATGGGAATTATCGAAATATTGTTGGTTTGAGTATACGACAAAAGAAGAGTTCGGTGGCCATGGGTGTGAATAACGGTGATTGCGATGCTGTTGGTGGCGATGGCGATGGCGATGGCGGTGGCGGTGGCGGTGGCAGTGGCGTTGGCAGTGGCGGTTATCAGATGGGTGAGAGAAATGGTCCGCTCTATTTGCTATACATATTGTACAACGATGGGAGCCTTTTAAGCTACAACTTAAAAGAGGAGTAATAATTGTGGAGACGGTTGCCCTCCAAGAAATAATGGAAAAGGACGATTGAGTAGTTTATTAAAATCAAAAGGATGACTTGATGTTTTTTTTCTTTTAACATGTAGGAATAATATATTAAAGTCTTTTCCTCTTTTTTCTTTTTTCTGAAGATTTAGGTTATGTTTTCGCTGAAATTCTATTAAAATTGAGATAGTTTCTATATAGATAAACGTGATAAAATTATCTCTTATTTAACGATTCTGGTATATAAAGTTGACATGAATTGGGGCGTGTGGCGTAGTTGGTAGCGCGTCTGCCTTGCAAGCAGAAGGTCATGAGTTCGACTCTCATCTCGTCCATACATTACTTTCGAATCTAATGGCAGTTAGATTTATTTTTTTTCCCTTTTCTCTTTTGTTTTTGGTCTTTTCCACTTTCGAGGGAAGGATATATTGAAGATTATGTTTGTTGTAATTGATTCTATAATTGTTTGGACTAAGAGGGATTTTTGGTTGGTAAATTTTGATTTATATTTGTATATTAGAAATTGCATAAAAGCAGACGTGAGCCAAAGGGCATGAGATTGTTTGGAGAGTGCAGTAGAAGTTGAAACATAGATTAGAGATTAGGAGAAGAAGAAATGAACTTTATTTTGTTTTTACTTTTTTTATGTGGTGATGTATGTTTTAAGTCAATTTGCAACCAAAAAAAATAGAACAAATAAAAAGTGATTGAATTCATCCATATAGAACAGTTGCGAAACTCTTACTTCATTTATATCGCATGAAACTAGATAAAATTATTACACTCTGACATGCATGGCTTAATCTTTGAGACAAGTATACGACTACTGTATTGAATTTTTGAAGTGGGGAAATACTTCGTAATAATTATATATGACACAACACAGCAACTCCACTTTGGTTTTTCTTTCTAATTTGTTTTGTTACAATGAGTAATATATACAGTCTTTTTATTTTTTATTCATATTAGTGCGACATAATTGTTTATACCGCAAAGACATGTATATTCATATCAATGTATGTGATTTTGAGAATCACAATATAAGACAAAAAGAAATACATCATATATGATCCATGCGGAAATATATATATATTATTGCCATCACATAGACAATGACGCTGTAAACCATTATGAGAACATATACTGGACGGGGGTTCATACGTAAAACTCCTGCAAATTATAGAGATACTGAGCCACGCTTTTTAGCGAACATACAAAACCAAACCAAATTGGCTACTACCCCTCAATCAAAATCAAAGCAAATTGTGCACACCATTAGGTTGAACAATTAGTAGTTCTTTCAAGTTCCCTTCAGCTTCTAACCGGATTCCAATTAGCCGGCAAGGAAAAAGACTCCCACCGACGTGAACGCTTACCCCTAAACTTCAAATTTTTTAAAAAATGCGATCGCACCGTACGAAAACCTTCGTCTTCAGTGTGAGCAATGCCACCCTCTACACGAGCATTTAAATTACCTTCAAACTCATGGGCATTCGCATTGCCTTCCTCGTCAGGCTCGGTATCACATTCATCGGCCCTGCCTTCCCCTGGCAGCTTTTTTAACCATGCCATCCACTTGTGGTACATTTGCTTTAAATTGTGATCTTTACCCTTAGTTCTGGAGTCTCCATCTCCATACTTGGACAATTTGCTCTTTGAATGAGAACCCGCTATTCCATGGTCGCCTTGACCACCTGTATCGGAATTGGCACTTGTTGCAAGAGAACCAGCGCCTCCTGCATGAG